TCCGGTTGAACTCGCGTCGGATGAGTCCGGCTGAGCGTGAGCATGTTCGAGGGGCAGTGGAAGACATGTTGAAAGCGGATATTATATCTCCGTCTAATAGCCCATGGGGCGGCGCCTGTTGTGTTGGTTAAAAAGAAGGATGGTAAATTGCGATTTTGTGTGGATTTTCGGAAGTTGAATAAAGTGTCGGTGGCAGATGCGTATCCCCTGCCGCGTATGGACGATTCTCTCGACGCCTTGTCAGGGGCTAAGTTTTTTTCAACGCTAGATCTCTCTTCGGGCTTCTGGCAGCTCCCCCTTGACGAGCCCTCGCGAGAAAAGACAGCTTTCCGTACGCCGCAGGGGTTATTCCAATTTAACTGTCTTCCGATGGGGTTGAATGCTGCCCCTGCCACTTTTCAGAGGTTGATGGAGTTGGTATTGACGGGGTTGCAGTGGGAGACATGTCTCATTTATTTAGATGATATTATAGTCTTCAGCCGCACATTTGATGAGCATTTACTGCGGTTGGAGGCTGTATTCGCCAGAATGCGTTCTGCTAATTTGAAATTCAAGCCTAAGAAATGTCATCTACTGCAACGCTCCGTTCGATACTTGGGACATATTGTTAGTGCGGACGGGGTGGCCACGGATCCAGAGAAAACTGCGTGTGTCCGGGATTGGGCAACCCCGGCCACGGTGGGTGATGTGCGTCGGTTTCTGGGGTTCGCCTCATATTATCGGAGGTTTGTTCCGAATTTCGCTACTATCGCCAGGCCTTTGCATCTCCTTACTGGGAAGGGGCATAAATTTGTGTGGGGACCGCCGGAGGAGGCGGCGTTTCGGAGCCTGCGCGATTTACTGGCTACTGCGCCGACGTTGGATTATCCGGATTTTGAACATCCCTTCATTCTGGATACTGATGCGAGTGACTCTGGTATTGGGGCGGTGTTGTCCCAGTCAAAAGGTGGTGTTGAGCGTGTGGTGGCGTATGGGAGTCGGGTTTTATCTCCCGCGGAAACCCGTTACTGCGTCACTCGCAGGGAACTTTTGGCTATTGTGTTTTTTCTCCGACAATTTCGACCGTATCTGTACGGTCGGTCGTTTATTGTCCGCACGGACCATGCGGCCTTGCAGTACGCTCTTAAGATGGACCAGCCATCCGGACAATTGGCGAGATGGCTGGACACGTTGCAAGAATTCTCCTTCCAAATTCACCATCGGAAGGGTGTGCGTCACGCTAACGCGGACGCACTGTCCAGGTTGCCGCAACGATCCCCTTGTGCGTGTGCGTCGGGGACGCATAGGTGTGGACCGACTCAGCCCCCCCCTCAGCCTGTCGCGCTGGCAGTGGATGTTCTCGAAACTCCGCTTACACCGGGACCGGTTGATGGGGGACCGGCTGACGGGATTTTGCGTCTTCCAAGGTCTGTGTGGATTCGGGAGCAAATGTTGGACGAATCTTTGGTGTCGTTACGAAAACGAACGGAGAAGGCGGGTAAGGAAGTCGGTGCGGGTGGTATTTCGGAAACTGCTCTCCGAGATGGGTTACTGATGTGGAGGGAAGGGATACAGGAACACTGGCGTCTCGTTGTGCCTGCGTCATTGCGGTATGAGTTGGTTAGATCTTTGCACTGTGACACACTTTTACACCTGGGGGTGCAGAAAACCCTATTGACGCTGCAACGAGACTATTATTGGCACGGCATGACGACGGATGTCGTCGGTCACGTTCGCGCGTGTCCCGATTGCGCCCGCCGTAAACCACCTAAACATCCATATGTTCCGCCGATACAATCGATTAAAGTATCTCGGGTTAATGAGCTGGTGGCGTTAGATATTTTGGGACCCTTTCCACCATCCGCTAAGGGAAATAAGTATTTACTGGTGGGGGTTGAGTACCTCTCTCGCTGGCCGATGGCCTGGCCTTTGCCTGACCAGTCAGCGGCGTCTATCACTGACGCCTTTCTATTTGGGTATGTAATGGACAAAGGGGCGCCGGAGAGGCTCCTTACGGATCAAGGACGTAACTTTTCGTCCAAATTGTTGGGGGAGGTGTGTGCGGCTCTTGGAACTAAAAAGATACGGACGTCCCCCTACCACCCGCAAACGGATGGTATGGTGGAACGGTTGAATCGGACTCTGTCCGCCATGCTGTGCCATACAGTCGGGGAAAATCAATCTGATTGGGATTTGCATATCCCTGGGGTGCTTTCGGCGTATCGCATGACGCCGCACGCGGCTACTGGATACTCGCCGTTCTTCCTTATGTACGGCCGTGAGAATGTTCCGCCGATTAATGAACAGTTGGGAACCGGCGCGAGGGGGCCTGTTAAGCCTCTTCCTGAGTATATTAAGGACAACGTTCGGCGTGTCGCTGAGGCGAGGGAAAGTGCCCGCATGGCTACTGCCAAGGCTCAGGCCAGGAATGAGCGGTGTGCCCGACGATCAAAGGGGGAGTGCCCCTGGAAAAAGGGGGACCTGGCCTGGCTTCATTGCCCACAGGTGCGGCCAGGTACCTCTCCTAAATTACATAGACCTTGGCAGGGTCCGGTCCGCCTCATTGAGGTTCCAAACCCACAGTCGGCGCGTGTTCAGGTTGGTTCACGGCGCTGGTTCGTGCATACATCCCGGTTGAAGCCATACATTGCCCCGCGGCCGGATGCGTCATCTCCCGAAGTTGCCTTGCCGGGGTCTGTTGCTGCCGACTCGCCCTTGCCTGTGTCTGCTGACCTTGCGAGAGCGCCTGTCGTACCCTTCACAGACAAGCCGGCCGTGACAGCGCAGGGAGGAGGACGTTCCGCTCGTGGGACGTCGACTGGAGCCGCAGAACCCACGGGACCTGCAGCTCTTCCTATCCCTCCGCGGACGCGAGTACGGGATGTCTCTGGACGCGAGCGGGACAGTGGCGGGCACCTTCAACTTGGACTTGCCTAGGTAAATAAGGCACACCAATTATGACAGACTGTCCTATGTGTAATGCGGGCGTAAACGGCCCTCCGGAGGTGCCGTCATGAGGGGAGGAGTTAGGTCACGTGGGGGGAGAGGGGTTGAGCTATAGAAGGAGGGGAACCGGAAGAGGATAGGGAGTGACGGGGAACCAGGAACAGAGAGAGGCCACGAAGGGCGAAGCGGAGTGTGGCGAGATCGCCACGAACACGGAGGCAGCGAGGGTCGGCACCGTTGGCCAGCGGTGACCGACCCGAGGCAGCGAGGAGGCTGCAGTCAGCAGCGGGGCTGCACAGAGAGAGTGGGCAGCGGGTCTGCATACGGTGGCAGCCAGAGGGTCTGCACATAGGGGTAGCAGCGAGTCTGCAGGGAGGAGGTTACAGTAGATGAAGCAGAGAGTCAGAGGGAAGGAGAAGCTATAATAGCAGTGAATAGCCGGGGGCTACAAATACAGAGTTATAACAGAGTGCCGTGTGGGTGAAGACGAGAACCCAATAAAAGACACGAAGACAGAAGGAAGTGTCCGAGTCCATTTATTACATATGTACAAACATTATACATACCCACACAAACCCGGCGTAACCATGTCTCCCTTCAAAGATGCTTCCACCCAATTGGCCACTTTATTTAGCCTTGTTATTATAAGATTCAAATAAATTTTAAAATGTAACCTTGTTAAACAAGGTTGTGGGGTAGAGTCACGGCGTAGTGGTTCATGCACTGCGTTTTAAACCCGGTGACCTGGGTTCGATTCTCGGCCATGGCTATAACATCAGCGGAGAGCGATATTTGAATCCGCACTTGCCAGTTTGGGGAAGTATGGTCAAACTGTCGGTCATGTTTTTGATGACCCAGGTCGCGCTCGCAAATCAGCGTGTTTTCGTCTCTTTTTTGCTCTCATCCAATTAAAATAAACTTAACTCCATCCAGCAGTGGATTGACAACCGTTCTGGACTCCATATACATATCTCAAATTAAAAAAAGGGTGAAGCTATTTGGCTGCATTAATAAATAAATAAAACTCTATTATAAGATTCAAATAAATTATTTTGCTATTTTGATAGTCGTAATAAATGTTTTAATGTTTTAAAGATCAAACTCACGGATATATGTTTGAGCAGGATCTCAAGTTATAATGCTTGTACATATTCATCCTTTCTTTGGATGAGTGACTTTCCACACCGTGCGAATCGTGGGGGGTTATTTCACCGTACGTCACCGCTCTGGTCGCTATGGGTTGCTGAGACTGTAGTGCGCCTTTTGATGTAAGCACGGAGTGTACGAGTCTTAAATTACCTGGTTTGCAACGGTAAATGCCAAAGACCAGCTGGTTCAACAGCAGAGTTCATGATCATGAGAGTGGCAGTTTAAACCCTTACCAGGGGGCAGAGTCGACACGGCCCTCTCATCATCATTATTCAATCATCATTATCATCTATAATAATCTTAACAAATAATAATTAATTACATGAATATACATTTAGCAATGATAGTAGTAATCAATATATAATAATTCAATCATACTTTCCTGTTATTCCAAGAATAATAGTAATGATACATTTAAAAAAAACATCATATGACAATCATAATAGTAATAATCAATAATTGCTCATTCTTTGTTAGCAACATCTGGTGAGACTGCACGTTATTATACCGCACTCGCCCATAGGAATGTGGAATTTACACCACTGGCTCAGGACCTAGCCATGGGCGCTGGATAGGCCAATTGGCCATGAGCCATGAGAAATAGAAAGAGACCCACACAAATATATAGCAAAATATACAATGGCACAGACAATTAGACTAAATGTATCTATGACAAGGGTATAGACACCAACACAGACACATTCTGACAAAGACAAAAGAAAGATCTTCCGTTAAGCTGTTGGAGCAAGTGCTGTCAGCCAGCACACATCAATACAGACACACAGCTCCACCGACACACACACAGAGCCCCAGTCCTACCTCTTGCCCTGAGCAAACATCCACTCCGTTGCTGCTTTGGGGCAACAACCTAAGCCGGGTCGCTATGGTCGCAGCCGCGTCCCGGGAGACCAACCAGGCAGGCAGGGAGGGATGGATGGAGACACAGTCCGTGGGGTGAGGTGAGGGCAATTTATGGTGAGGTCTGGGCAATGGGTAGGGTAAGGTATGGGTTGGGAGTTTGTGGTGAGGGGTATAGAAGAGAATTGCTCAATGCTCCGCAGATTCACGTGAGCCATGGCCGAGAGAGAGGAGGATGTGGATGTAGCCGAGGTAGAGGAGGCATTGCTCATGGAGACACAGGCGAAGACTTCTAACGTGGAGACACAAGATGGTGACTCATTTGTGGAGACGCAGCGTGATACACAATTGGGGACGCAAGAAGATGCTCGCGCGGAGACGCAAGGTGACACGAACTCAGGGACACAAAATGACAAGGACACGGTGTCGCGCAACGACGCGTTGGAGGCACCTGGAGACCCACACGTGGAGACACACGCGATCCTAATTGCGGAGACAAGAGATGGCACACACTTGGGGACACGCCGTGACCAAAATATGGAAATACGCGGAGAAAAGCAGTTGGGCGCATCGGGTACGTATGTGGAGACACCTGACGACAGGAAGACGAAACACGAAGATGATCACGTGGAGACGCACGAAGACACCCACGTGGAGACAGATGAAGACAATCACCTGGAGATACGCGAACACACACACGTGGAGACATATGAAGACACCCACGCGGAGAATACAATTCTGGAGACACGAGACGAGGCAAGCTTGGAGAAACTGGAGAACACTCTCCTGAAAATGACACGTGTGGAGACACGTGAAGACACACGCGTGGAGACAGATGAAGACAATCACATCGAGACACGTCAACACACACACGTGAAGTCACGTGAAGGCACCCACGTGGAGAATGTTGAAGACAATCATCTGGAGATACGCGAACACACACACGTGGAGACACATGAAGACACCCACGCGGACAACGCAATCCCGGAGACACGAAGCGACCCAAGCTTGGAGAAACGGGAGAACCCTCCCCTGAATAACACACGTGTGGAGACACGTGAAGACACACGCGTGGAAACACAAGGTGTCCAAAACATGGAGGCCCGTGGAAGCAAGCAAACAGAGACACATGGTACCTACGTGGAGACACACGGAGACAGATATATAGAGGCATATGAGGACACACACGTAGAGACACACGGAAACAGATATATAGAGGCATATGAGGACACACACGTGGAGACACACGGAGACAGATATATAGAGGCATATGAGGACACACACGTAGAGACAAATGAAGACAATCGCGTGGAGACACACGGATACACGCACTTGGAGACAAAGGGAGATGCTCAAGCGGCCACAGAGGAGGAGCATGATGATGATCGTCGTGATGAAGAAGATTATGGGAAGGCTAGGTCCTTCAACCCCGACTGCCTTCATTGGGGATGCGAGGAGGTGGCTGATTGGGTCAGCAGCCTTGGCTTCTCACAGTATCGGGTACTTAGTGAGTGGCTGTCTTGCCTATTGAGTGACTGATAAACTGATCGATTTGCTCAATGACTTCTTGCCTGAATAATTACCTGTCTACACGTGCCATTAAATGCCCACCTGTGTGTCTATCTGAAATGTAATTTCTTGCATGACTACCTTTCTGACTCACAACATAACAGTCTCACTATTATGCTGGCTGTCTTATTAACTGCCAAAATGGTCGAATAAGAGCCTTCCTACCTGATTAACTTCCTAACTGGATGATTGACTGTCTTAATGATTGATTTACTAAATGTATGCCTCTGTGATTAACTACTTGATTAATTACTCGCCTTTCTTCCGGTAGCGCGTTCATTATTTGTTGTAAAAGTTGCCGGTTCGAATCAGCCACCCGAGTTATTAATGCCACAGTAGACATCTGTGCATCGACACTATGGCCAAAATTTGGTCAAAAATTCAAAATTTCAAATAACTGAATTGCGATTATACACATCGCAATCATTGTTCCAAACTGCGAAAACTTGGCAACACCCTCCTGGCGTCACGGTGGCGAGATGTTAACTACCTCGCCTGGTATACAAGAGGGCATGGGTTCGATCCCGATCCTGACGCCTGCTGTATATTTGGAGTTCGCATGTTCTCCCCGTGGTAGCGTGGATTTTTCACCGAGTGCACCCGTTTTCCCCTCCAAATTTTGAAACATGCATTTAGAGCATTTGGCCGTTATACATGTTCACATAAGCCACTTCGTTGAGCTATCATTTGTGGACAGGTCGCTTCTGAAAAATATATATATGTAGCTCAGTGTGTCTTACCTGGTAAAAGAAAAGTTTTTTTTATAGTTTAGTTTAGAATAAGAGTCATGAGACGCAGTGATGTTTTCCTGGGTAAACCAGCGTAAGAATAAAACCACCCACCAGATTACCTGATTAACCAACTGCATGGTGCCCTTCCGGCCTGTCACAAGGAGTGCTTCATGAGTAACCACGTGGATGGCAGAAGACTCATCCTCATCAACTGCTCCTCGCTGCCTCGCCTCGGGGTCACCGACTTCAACCACATGAAGGTGAGTGCGAGCGGGTAGGGTCAGCATGTTGAGGTTACAATTCAGCAAAAGAGTCGGGGTTAGGATTGAGGTGAGTGTTGGGATCAGTGTTCAAGTTAAGTTGGTCGGATGGGCGGGTGTGTGGATCGGTGTGTAAATAAATTGATGGGTAGATGGATAGGAGGGTGGGAGTGTGAATGGATGGATCGGAGGGTGGGTGTATAGATAGGAGGGTGGGTGTGGAGATAGGAGAGTGGGTGTGTGGATGGATGGATGGAAGGGTGGGTCTGTGGATGATGTATGGGAAGGTTGATGAGTGGGGCCATGAAAAAAGTATCTTAAATTTATCATTCTTTTGTAGCCGAGTGGGTTGGTTAAAGTACTGTGTAAATATAGCCAGGGATTCTATCTCGGCTACAGCAATGTTCCCTCAAATATGGTGCTGATTATTTTCCTTTTCAATGTGTCCTCGCACGAGGTAGCTCCAGCCACCATCCTCATGTTCCCTCTCCGTGGAATAAGTGAGCATCCCACCCACAAAATTACTCTGCTTCCCCCTCCCCCTCCCAAGTTGACTCGTGAATGTCTCCACGGTTTAATTTCTCACTCGAGTATTTTCCCGATCGCTGATAGACTGGCTCGCAGTAAACATTATCGGCGCAAGGCACTGCCGTGAGAATACAAAGTCATAAGACAAACATTATATCCTGCTCAAATAAGCGTTGGGGTGGTGCTCCTCTCGTGTTTCCAATCCTGAGCCACTGGTGGAAATTCCACATTCGAGTCTCCCCATAGTGACCCCCCATGGAGAGATGACGGGCCCACAAGTTACGCAGACCCACGATAATTCTATATTATTCGGTATCATTCTTAATATGATTATTGCTGTACCCGATACACACACACACATACTCACACCACCACTTCAGTATCCCAAGGACAAAATAAGGCGACATGGATGTGGCGCTCTGGGACTATCTCCAGGTGAAATGAAGCACGGAATATTTCTGTAGGAGCTGTGTCGTGGCGTGCGGGTCCTGCTGGGGGTGCGGGAGCCCCCCTTCACCCGCAGCATCTACGAGCCTCGACGGGAGCCGTGGGGGCTCTACCTGGAGGCGAGGGCTCGCTCGGGGGCCCAGGCCGACTCGCTCACCTTCGAGCAGTTCGTGCAGGGGCAGCTGTACGCCAAGATGGAGTAGACGATGCCAGAGTAATCATAGAGCAGGGCTCTGGAACGTTTTACTTGGCGATGGTCGAAAACGGAACGTTCGCAAAGCTTAGACGGCGCAGCCACACATACACACACCTTGGTTATTGTCGCATTAAAGGTAAAGGTGCGGACCTGCAATTTCCTGTTCAGGCCACTGCTGGCAGAAGGGTCTTCACGCCGGCCAGACGTCTTGGAAGAGGTAGGAGTAACCCACACTCTGCCCCACCACGCACGATCTGGAGAGTATACGTTTAGACTACTCGGTGGGCAGAAGTGAGAGTATGCAGGGACGGGATTGAATAAACTTGCACCATTTTTTCAACTACCGTGCCGGGAAATCGAACTAGCAACGTATGTGTGTTGTTGAGCTTCTGTCGCACCGTACGTAGCCAACCGTGCCAATTATAAGTCCAGTGCTGCTAACCATTATACCACGGGGGCATCCCTGTTTTCTTCTTATAATGAGAAAAAAAATGAGGGCTCGCCTCCTCTGAGTGACCTACATTTAGGAAGAAAAAAACGCTCCCCCCCCCCCCACTTATTTGAGTAAAAACATGTATTCACTGGAACTCTTCTGTGTGCACCCACGTATGTTTTTGAATGACCTGACAATTATCGTGAACCCCCGTCATTCTGCTGAACCGAGGACACGTAAGATCTTGTTTTTGTACAGATTTCCAAAGAAGGCCGTGATGGTAAAGTTAACAAAAAAATATTTAAAAATTACGGTCTTAAATTTCGATTTAAAGCTTTCGTGACTGCAAGGATTCATCTTCTCGGTTCTTTCGGTAAAGTCACGTAGAAGGGAAGTAATAAAATAATAAAAATAATAAAACATAATAAAATAATATAATATGCTTTATTTTTATTATTGTATTACTTCCCTTCTACGTGACTTTACCGAAAGAACCAAGAAGATGAACTACAGTCTTCTCAGGTCGATTTGTGCGGCTAAGATGCAGTGACGGATACATATCGTGTGCGGACCGTTGATGTGGTGGCGGGTCGTATGAAATGAAGTCGCGGGTCATATCTGACCTGTGGACAGCAAGGTCCCTTTAGCCCCCTGTCGGAGATGCTTAGCTGGGTAGCAAGGAGACGGCTGTGATGGAGAGTCTTTGGGCCGTGTCGATGACAACGAGCTGGCATCGCGGATGACGTCTGGGGTTGAGTCTGGGTTTCAAACAGCCGAGATTAAACCGGGTTTTCTGGTGTTGTGCTTTCAAGATCTCAGCTCGAATATCGACGACTGCTCACTCTAAACATCACATGACGTTTAATTTGGCTTATTCCAGCGCGGAGAAAAAAATGTCGCTGTTCGACTGACATTCTGTGCACGGCATAGGTATATCTTTAATGTGGACAAGTAGCCTACTCAAGTGAATTCAGTCTTAGTTTTGTATAAATCGTCTCCCGGGACCGTTCTCCGATAGACAAAGTGGTGCACTGCTCACTGCGTATGTAATTAATGGAGATTTCTTCGTCGCGTGTTATGATCCCGATATCACTATTTGAAAAGGAAAATAATTGGGAGTAAATTAACGAAGAACCCAGGGAAGCATTGAAGTAGTAGTAATCCAGTAATTGCCTTCATTATGATTGCACTACGGGCTCCGTTGTATTAGTTAAAGTTGATTCACTTCATGCATTGACCTCCCAGCGTTGGCTGAACCAATGTCAGTGTAGAAATACAACAAGAACAAGCACGTTTGCTGCTCATAAAGACATGCCCTCTGCATGCACGTTGCATGTAGAATGCTCTCTCAGCCGTGTCCAAACTACCAGCTCACAAGAGCTGAATGTGGCTCGTATTACTGTTTAGGCCACCAACTCATATAGTTGAAGACACGGGGGCTGTTGCGCATCTATGCGTGTCGTTATTTCTGCGTTGCACACCTGTACGCATTTCCTGTTGTGGTGTGGTTATCTAATGACTGTATATGCACAAAGTGTTGACTTGAAATCAATATCAAGTGAGCATCCTGTACTGTGACCTTTTCACAGTCATTGAGGCTGCAATGAAAGCACACTCATCAAATGTGCCCTTACAGATCTGTATCAGTGCAGGCAGTCAGACATGCACTTACAAATACTACACATTTCCCGTTTAGAAATATATATTTTTAGCTAATAAAATTAATAAATAAAACATGATCACCCTATTGTCACGCATGTTTGGTGTTTGCCAAAAAGCTCGTGTGCACGTGTTTGCTGCAGATCGTGACTTTAGTTTTATTTTTGTTTAACCAGGTGAGATCTCAAGAGACCAGAATCGGTCTAATTTGCAAGAGTGACGACCTCTTTAATTTGCCGGTAGGGAACGGTCATTTTCGAATATACAATGGCCTCCTATTGCGTATGACGTCGGGGAGTCTTGAACGTCCAACTGTGAAGCAGACGGCGCGTTTTGATTATGGCTATTAAACCCGCGGTATTAATCAGGGTGGCCACTCGATTCGAACCGTGAAGCTCCACAACAAGTGGCGAACGTTCCACCGCTCGGTGATATAGGCCTACACTTATAATCCTCCACTCATTTTGTGATTCTATCGTGCGCTTTGGTCCCAGTATTCGTTGGCGGTAATTACCAGAAGATGGCAAATTCTGACGTGAAATCAGGATCGCTATGGGCAAAGCAGCAATCATCCACATCATCAGCAGTCATGGCCAATCCACGGCTGGATGAAGACTTTCCCAAGGCGAAGCCATCTCTCACGGTTATGCAATGTGGCAATTGAGTAACAAAAAGCCAGAGGGCCGGCAGACAAGGAAGCGTCTCCTCGGTGGCTTGAGCAATGTAGAGAAGCTACGGGGAAATAAAACAGCAAGCACAGGGTCGTGCTTGGGCCAGGAACCTGTTTTAGGCAAAGAACACTGTATATGATTATACAAATTGTATGCACGCGTTACCTCGTAGGCTAAACACTCAACGAGACGAGACATACCATCAACGACATTCCTGAATAGGTATATTGATTGTTATGTAATCCAACTCAGGCATGGTAGGCCAAGTCGACTCCATTTGAATGCGTCATTGTATCACAGTCGCCGCCCGAACTCGTCGCATCTCGGAAGCTAAGCAGGAATTTAGGCTGGCTTAGAACCGACTTGAATGGATGTCTGTCGGTGGCTTGCCTGATGCTGCAGGTTGTGTACTTGTGGGGATGCGAAAGTGTGGCCAGGAGATGGCAGTGGAGTCACCCCCCTTGTATACAGCGTATACCGCTTTTTTATTTAATTCAATGTCTGTTATTGTCGTTGTTGTCGTATCCTCAAATCTTGTAACTCAATTTTAACCCACTTTCCAATGTGGTATCGACTGCAAACTTCGTATAGTTACGTCTTACTGATGACAATACTATATTCTATCATAAAAAATGAAAAATATATATTTTAAACAATATTTTTACACGCTTTCTATTAACTCACTGTCGGTTCTTGTTGTCGTATCCTCAAATCTTGTAACTAAATTTTAACCCAATTCCCAATGTGGTATCGACTGCAAACTTGGTATACTTACGTCATACTGATGACAATACTATATTCTATCACTAAAAAAAAAAACATTTTAAACCATCTTTTTTATATGTTATGTTTCGGCTTAGGTCTAATTGTCCACGCTCAACTTACGTTGGCTGTAAATCACCACGCTTATGGCAAGCCTCGGGGCCACTTCCTGGAGTCGTGGAGTTCTGCCATTACCAGTACGGTACATTTCATTAAAGCGTGTTTAAAAAAAAAAGTATTTTTAAACATTACTTATTTTTTACCCCGGGATCTCCGGTTTTCCTCCAACGGGTATAAACTCGCGTTCATCGAGTTGGCCAGAACATTCCACCAATAATAGCCCCAAGGCAGCAACCACCGTGATTCGTGAATGCCTTCCCGCTTGCTCTGTGGTTTCCCACGTCTGTGAGTGAAATCTGTGCGCATTATCCATGCTACGATTGTGCCACGCATCTCGCATGCGAACATCATCCACGTCACTTGGCAAAAAATATTATCGAGCGAGCAATTTCATCTCGACGTCATGGAAGAAGAAATGTATTAAATAAAATCCCACAGGCAACGAACGGACAGCTCCCATCACGACACCACCCACAGTGGGGTGGAGGGAAATGTCGGTTGTTGACACCGAATTTGTGTGACAAACCACCAACTGGGATCGAACTCGGATGGGTTAAGGTCAAAGGCCCGGGATTCCAAAGGTTGTGAATCGATCCGAGCCAGCGGACCTCAAAGGGTGCGAGGTGTGTGGGTCTGTGTGTGTAGGGGGTGGATGAGTGGGGTAATTGATGCGATGGTTGGGTGAGCGAGTGTAAGTGGATATCTAATTGTGTGGGTGGTAATAAAACGTGAGTTACATCACGTGAATGTAAATGTGTCGTACATCCACTTCCACCCGACACAGCCAACATTATCAAGTTTTGTCACGTTAACAAAACGTGCCAATTTGTTCCACAACTTTAGCAAAACCGGTTGTCTGTTGTAGAGAAAACCCACAAAATATGTACGAGTGAGGACTTCATCAGGAATAATATTGGTCGCAAAAGCCTACGTGTTGCCGTAATCGTTTAAGTTGGAGTGTCGGGTGGGAGGTGTGTGATGTAAAAGCGGACGGGTGAGAACATGAACATGCGGTGTGGAATTGTTTGTCTTGCTAAGATGAGTGACTGAGCGATTGTCACTTCGGGTAGCCGGTTGAGTGAGTGAACACATCATTGTTGCGACGGGTGAGCGAGTGATTGCGTAATTGTTTGGATTGTGCATCATTCGGTGATTGAGTTGTGTGAGAGGCATTGGGGGAGAAAGTGGGCAACACATTCCTGCGGAGGGAGCTGGTAGGAACGTTGGGTTGCTCGGTCAATGGCCAGGGTCAACGGCGGCGTGGTGTATTCCGCAAATATGCCCGACTGTGGGGGCGGGCACAAGCCGGCGTGAGTAGGTTAAACATTGAGTTTAATAAGGGCACCACGGGGTGACCAGCCCCTCCCCACCCAGCCCCTCCCCACCCAGCCCCTCCCTCCACGACGGACGGACGGACACAATAATCCCCAGTGGGCTGGTGTAACCAGGAGGTTCCTACCAGTAAAATGTGTTTTTTATTTATTTAATGAGCTTGAGTTATGAGTGCGTGTGTATATATGTGATTGGTGAACGATTCGGTGAGTGGCTGGTTGGCTGAGTTCCGAGGTGTTTGGATATCAGGTCTTGGTGAGGGAGTATGTGAGTATGGGTAAGATTGTATCATAGACGTCAAACCTCTACCTTATTACAGACCAATTAAGACTTTATTGGTCACCCCGTGTCCTGACATTTTTTTAACGTTTATCCTACAAAGTCCCATCACAAGGGAGAAACACAAATAGACAAATAGAATGTTGCCCGTATTGAAACCTAAAAACCTCAATTTCCCTGTACAAGAAGACGAATGTGTTGACATATATGTTGGAAACCTTTTGAACTTTTTTCGCACCGTATGTAGCCAACCCTGCTAACAGGAGGCTGGGTGAGTGAATGAGCAAGTGTGAGTTGATGTGTGAATGTTATGCATGTTATGCATTGCGCATTACACTAAGGAACCCAACACGTTTCCAGAGAAAGCTCCCACTCATGAATAAACCTCTTAAAGCACCCCTTATAATCATCGGCCATGGTCAATCCACAATCCACCGAGCACCATCACACGACGCTGATTTCACGGCTCCATCTCCGCGGGTGGACGCGTCCTCGTCGCACGCAAATTAATTCCATCTCTTGGCAAATGCCACTCAAGACATTCATATTTACCATGGGGGGGGGGGGGGGGGGGGGGCTCATCATCCCCTTGGGGCCGAAACACCCTTTATATCTTTAACAGTACGAGTCTAATCGGCGTGCTCCTCTTTACGACTCACGGTGGAACCCCGAGGATGCATCACCAACACCACCACCACCATCATCACCACCACCACCATCCCCACCATCATCATCACCACCATCATCGTCATCATCACCACCACCATCATCATCACCACCACCATCACCACCACCATCATCACCACCATCATCATCATCACCACCATCACCCCCGTCATCATCACCACCATCATCACCACCACCACCATCATCACCACCACCATCATCTTCACCATCACCATCACCACCACCATCACCACCACCACCATCACCTCCACCATCATTACCACCACCATCATCATCATCACCACCATAATCACCACCACCATCACCACCACCACCATCATCACCATCATCTCTCCGCGCGCTTCATTGAGTGAGCACTTCTTGTTGTTCCGTTAAAAAAAGTCTTAGGGCCGGGTCCTCGTTGGCTCACGAGACTCCTCGCCCCCCCTCCTCTTCGCCCCCCCCCCGCCTCGCCCCCCCCCCCTCCTCGCCCCCCCCCCCTCCTCGCCCCCCCCCCTCCTCGCCCCCCCCCCTCCTCGCCCCCCCCCCTCCTCGCCCCCCCCCTCCTCGCCCCCCCCCCCTCCTCGCCCCCCCTCCCTCCTCGCCCCCCCTCCCTCCACGCCCCCCCCTCCTCGCCCCGCCCCTCCTCGCCCCGCCCCTCCTCGCCCCCCCCCCTTCGCCCCCCCCCTCCTCGCCCCCCCTTCGCCCCCCCCTCCTCGCCCCGCCCCTCCTCGCCCCGCCCCCTCCTCGCCCCCAGCCACCCCCACCGAGACGGGCAGAGTGAGCGGCTGAGCGAGGGAGTCACCGCGCTGCCTCCATCACTTCCCCCTCCAGCCTCCCTCCCCCCTCCCGCTCAAGAGGCAGCGGCGTTCACGCCCCACAACCACCACCGCCATCCTCCTACCACCATCATCATCATCAACCATCCTCCTCCCTCTTACCACCACCACCATCATCAACCATCCTCCTGCCGGCACCGGTCACGTCACCAAAGCCGGGGGAGACACCGAGAAGGCGACACGGGGAAGAGAGAGAGACAGACACAGAGAGAGAGACACACACAGAGAGAGAGACACAGAGACAGACACACAGAGAGAGAGACACAGAGAGAGACACACACAGAGAGAGAGACACACAGAGACAGACACAGAGAGAGAGAGACAAAGGCGGACGTGCGGCGCCTGGTGGTACACGTAGGCGAAGGAAGACGTCGTAAGAGAGGAATATTACGCGGACACGGGAGCGGTGGGTCGTGGTGAGTGAGTGGTGTGGTGTGAGTGTGTGGCGGTGTTTGTAACAAGGAGACAGGCGCAGATGCATGCGTGAGAGAGGGACAAGCCTTGGGAAGAAGTGGTGGTGGTGGTGGGGGGGAGAGGAGAGAGAAACAAAGACGGAGGGGAAGGGCGTGGAGAGAGAGACCGGGGAGGGAGCTTGAGACACACGGAGACAGAGAGAGACACAGACAGAGAGGGACAGAGACACAGAGAGAGACACAGACAGAGAGAGGCACAGAGAGAGACACAGAGAGAGAGGCAGGCAGGATTCGTGAGGCAACATCGAGGCGGATCTAGGACAGGAAGGAAGGAAGGCGATCCACTGTACAGCCCGGGCGACAAGGCACACGGAGAGAGGGCGACTGTGACACAGACGCGGGGAGACGAACACGGGACACGATGGCCACGGAGGGCGCCATGCAGATGCTGGAGGCCGCCACCGCCTCCCTAACGGTGCAGAGCACGGACGTACAAGGCCCCGGCCATGGTAACGCTGCGCCCGACGGCCTGCCGACTCTGGCGGCACGCAGCGAGGGTGCCGCCCTTGAGGAGCGCTGGGGCATCCCTCGGAGGGAGCTCTTCGTCCTCGCCCTGCGGTTTTACAAAGGTGAGCAGAGAGGGCCTCTTCCTCCACCCCTCTCTCTAATTGATTATTAGTTAATTGCGTGTGGCGAGTGGTGGTTGATTAGTGGTGTCGGTGTGAGCGTGTGATCGATTCTATTGGGGTGGGGGGTTTGGAGACTGGTTCTATTCCTGTCCATGGTTCGTCGTTCATGGTCATCTTCATTATCATCCGTAATAAACACAATAATCCACATCATAACTACAATCGTTAGTATGGTCGTCATGAACAACGTTTACATACTAAACATCATCAGCAGCAGCAATATAACTATCGACATCTTCAACATCAATACAATCGTAAACATCAACACGATCGTTATATCCATCATCATAAACAACAAAATAATCGTACAGATAAATAACAACATGGCAATAATCATCGACAACAATATCAACAGCAGCAATATCAGCAGCATCATCACCACCATCATAGTGAACATCATCAAAACCTGTTGATTTTTTTGGTATGCGAATTTGTCCCTGGGTCTCTCAACCGGGTTGATGGAGGGACGGATGACACCTCGGCCCTTAAATTATTAATTAATACACGGTAATGGTTTAGTAAAACATCAACCATCAAAGGTTTTCAAAAACGGGTGGACGTGGTGCTGATTACAGCCACGCCCTGGTGTAGTTGTACCGTTACAGGCCCTTAATAGGTGCTCGCAAACTGCACGTGTCCTGTCCCCCCCACCCAACAGAGTGGTATAGCTACACACATTGATCTCTTTGTCTTCGATGGCAGTGAGCTTCCATTCCTTGCTTAAAATTAACATCATAAACATCATCATCATCGTCCACTCCAAATGGATAAATAGTATCCAAACTGAGTGGACATTACCCAGGTTGGCTTGGCATATGGGTATGCGCCTGTAGGGTTTTCATAAACATTAGCACTGTGCATATCGTTGTGTCAATCCACCGCTGGATCAGGGCTTCCCCACGTCCGTGCGGGTTATTTGACCATACTTGACAACGGTGGCCATCTATGGGTTGGACATAAAGGCGGTTGTTGTGTGTGTGTGTATTGTTATGGCCTCACGAATACCACCGTCAACCACCACCTCTTAACATTACCCCACCTGTGCAGCACTGTGGCCTTAATAGGTGCTCGCAGCCCAGGACCGGACTCAACAGCGTGTGCGGCCAACATTGTGGGAGATGACATGAGATTGGAACCGTGTCACAGCGGTTTGTTCATTTCGCTTACAATGACGACCATACTTTGAGCAAATCCACTGCTGGATGAAGGCCTCCCAAGTTGCCGCCATCTCTCTCGTATGTATGGAGGTTGAACTTATTTTACAGGTAGGAACAACAGGTTCCACACTGCCCACCAGGGATTATTTGTCTGTCGTGCACGAATGCGCTGTCCGACCAAGTTCCTACCTGCCCACTCCGAAGGAACGTGTTGCGCACCTTCACGTAGCCAACTCTTCTAATCAGAGGTGGGGGTAACGATTCTGTGATGTACCTGCCACACGAATAGATGCCAATGTTCCATCGCTGCGGTGGAAGTCCTCTTGGACGCCTTCTTCTTAACCTGGGCCCTCCACGAGGTAGATTCAGTCTAAGAATGTGTTGGTGATATGGGCATCATATCACCATCGTCCTCAACAGTGGGTTTGAGACCAATACGGTCATATTGGGCGTGTGTGTGTGTGATCTACAAAAACATAATCAACCTGAATAGGGTGCTCTCAAACAGCGTGGCGCAGGCATATGTGTAGCAATGAAGCTCAGATGGTGAGAGACGAACGGTCGTTTGAGTGGAAAATGCAAAAAAAACCTGCTTGTATATTGACCACAAAAGGCGAACAAGTGGAGTAACATCTCGTACCCAGTGATTCTAAGCGTGGAGCAGACGGGAACAAGCAGCGTACGTGGACACGAATGGGGGGCGAGAGGCGTGTGCGTGTACACAGTGGAAGTAGTGTCTCTACCATGCCACTGTCGAGGGTGGTGTGTGAATTTGCAATCTGGTTGTTAAAATTGTTTGTTTTCGCGTGACTGGAAACCGCATGGAGAAAAAAATCCCCAGTAAAAAAAACACTTGCCAGTTTGTCACATATATATAAAGTCTCGAGATAGCATAAATGTATTTTTTGAAAACCTTTTTTCTTATCTGCACAAATGTAGGATGTATATGAAATGAGGGTGGTGATGATTGCAATGATATGATTGTGATGGCATATGGCGATGGTAGTATTCATGGCATTGATGATGAATTTGTGGAGGATGGTGATCATGATGGTAATGATTATGATGATGGTCATTGTAACAATGATTATAATCATGGTAATCTACGCCAACCGATGTTTGAACCAAGCCTTGCACTTTACGTGAGCCAACGGGTGTAGGGGGACCTCTGCTCTGAGATCCCGCTCTGGGACACGGCAATCATGAGTTATTTTCAGAAAGCGTTTGCCACCGGGAACTCGCACCATTTCACAAGACAAAGATCCCCCGTATAGCCTTTAACTGGCTGTTGTGGAAAGTGCTGTGAAGGCCAGCGTGGAACACAAGGGGGTGAGTTGCCAGCATCACGCCCGGCCGCATTTGTCTCCCAAATGATGATATTTACACAACGGCACCAGGTACTCGTTTGAGGCGGAGTCGAATTAGGGGAGGCTCAGGACTGGTTCAAATAATCGTCAATGGTGTTGGTCATGAGCTGGAATCGAATTTGGGCTGCCGGGTTCGTAGCGCAAATCGCTAAACGCTACGCCACCACTCCCCCACACAGTGGGACAAAAGATAAAGTTCCACCGAATTTCCTTAACAGACTGTTGGGGCAAGTTTTATTAGCGAGCACCTATGAAGGCCAGCACGGTACACGAGCGGATGGATGGCCAGCACCACGCCCGACCGCCTTTGTCTCCCGAGTGGCGATGTTTACACAACGGCACCAGGTACTCGTTTGAGGCTGAGTCGACCTAGGGAAGACCTAGAACCGCGGTTCAGATAGTCGTCACCGGTGTTGGCCTTGAGCGGGAATCGAACTCGGGTCACCGCTTCCGCACACATTTGCACACACACTGTGGCACACACCGTGGTATATACTCGCCGTGGAACCCACACATCGTGACAAGTACGCCTTGGGAAATAGTATCCCTGGCAATGGCCCCTCTGTCAGAGCAGAGAGGACAGTCCAGAATGTTTGACTCATAGCAACAACAGACTGAAATTTCTTAAAACGTGCAGCCGCGAAAAGATGAAGGCGCAGAGTTCTCAGTTGCTGCTTCCTTCCTTCTGCCAGATTCCACAGTAGTTGCGAGGATCGGTTGTACACTTTCATCACCACCACCACTAGAATCGGGCTTGAGGTATTTCACACCCCCCCTCCACCCGCTTAGTCTGTAACCTCTGGGTGCCACACCATCGCCTGTCGCTGTACCCTGAATGTATGTCCCAGCCATGGCAAAGTGCCTTGTGCATGGCAGTTGGTTTGTAGTATAGTTTTACGAGTTGTTTATGGTTCGCAAATCAATTTTCGTAAACAAAGTATGGTATGGTGCACGTTATGTACCCACTTCTCTGGGCTGCTTAATCAATAAGCGTTATTCATACGTTGGTGACAGCTTATATCAAGGCAGCAGTTGCCTTCTGCCAGGGTCACTTCGGGTTAAATGTTGGCTTCTCTTCATGGACTATGAAGTGTTGAGGTTTGAAAACATACTTAACTATAAGCGTTCTTTAAATGTTAAAAATAAATATTTATTTAAAGCAAACCTGACTGCTGAAGCAATACTGCATGTTGAAACCGGTCCAGAGTTTGCTTGTACTGGATCAATGCTTCTAAAATTATTCACTCGCAGAACGCCATGGGGCTAGTTTTTGTAAAAGAGGATGACATTGTGAGCTTATCTCTTATTTTTCAAAGTGCACACGGAGAGACAATGCTCAAACTCAGCCTCTGAGAAACGTACTTGCTGTGTTATATACACACGCAAAGCTCTGGTACACCTTATTACAAATACATCCGCTTGTTGTCCTTCCAGTCCAAGGGTTTTACAGCAGCATTTAGTTAATCAGGCAAACTGTGGACCATTATTGATTGTCTGGGTCTCCACCAGTAGTGTCAGATCTTTTGATTAAATACTGCTCAGTTTCCAAATATTATTGGCAAAAAGCACTCCACTTAAAACGATGGGGCCCATCAACACAAAGTAGCAACGTTGTATGAAACCCAATAGCCTCGTTTATTTAACAGGCCACACTCTGCTGATGAAACTCGGAGAAGGCAAAACCAGATTGATCCAGAAGGCTAAAATGTAATATATATATTATATTTACTTAGGGAAATTGAATTTTTGTCTGTTTATATGACAACAGTGATCCTATATGTTGCCACATGGTAATTTTTAAATGCTTATTGCTGTATTTCCACCTCCGACAGACAACCCCACCGCATCTCCCGAGCGGGTGTGCTTTGTGTCAAACGCTCAATTGCGCCTTCTCTTTCTTTGATCCACCAATCTTGCTTCCAAGGCGCTGGCTTAGAGACGCGATGTCATAATGGGCTGCGTGACCATGGCCGGCCACAACCACCCTGGCCACAACCACCCCATCTCGGGGTTTTTCCCCCTACTGCTTCACTGCTGTGTTAATTAGCAGGATGGTTTCTCTGGCCCGGTGCTCACCCCCTCACTCCCTCACTCCCGCCATCCCACCCTCCACTCAGTGAAGAATGGTTCGATCCACAATCAATTGTCATCTGCTACGTGACCATAACCATGGAGTTCTGAGGTCATGGAAGTTTATGGAATTGACTGCGACAAGCGCCGTTAATTTAGCTGGAAGGGTGCTTCTACATGACGTATCATTACCCTCCCCCCCCCCACCTTGCTGCTGCGACTGGGCACGTGTGTTTTTTTATGGTTTAAACACAATTCGGTAATATACGACTTGTTTACGAAATGTGAGGCGAAGTGAAGGCGTAGGGAATGAAATGGTGATGTTTACGTGCGGCATCAGGAACTCATTTAAAGCCGAGATCCCCCACGTAGTCATACCAGACTGTTGGGGCAAGTGCTCTTGGCGAGCGTCTATGAAGGCCGGAATGGCACAAGAGGGGGTGGGTGGCCAACACTACGCCCGGCCGCCTTTGTCTCCCCAGTGGTGATGTTTACACACTGCACCAGGTATTGTTGAGTCTGAGTCGACCTAGGGGAGCCCCAGGACTGGTTCAGATAATTGTCACTGGTGTTGGCCATGAGCGGGAATCGAACCTAGGCTGCTGGGTTGATAGCGCAGTGCGCTAACTGCGATACTACCGCTCCCACACTCGTACAATCACACATACAGTGTCACATCCTCACTGCACCCTGGTCTCTCCCTCTTCTCTCCCCTGCTCTCTCCTGCTCTCTCTCTCCCTCCATGTCCGTGCTCTCTCCCACAGACAACGTGGGCGAGGGTTTCCCTGCGAGCGCCCAGGACCGCGCTCGGCTGCAGGCGGCGTGTGAACGAGCCGAGGCCGAGGAGGAGGTGCCCGGCTCCCAGGTCGAGTCGTCGGGGTCGCGGCCGGGGGACGCGGGCGACTCGGCCCCTTCGGATGATGCTCGCGCCCACTTCACGCAGCTGCTTATCGCTCACTGCCCGCTCTTCGTGTCCTACATGCTCGCCCAGCGGAGCGAAGGGCGCAGGTTCGAGCCCGATCCCAGCCTCTCCCGTGCTCTCGTAACGGCGGTCGTAGTGGTCGCTGGACGCAGGGTCAACGATAAAAGTTTATGATGATTGTTATCATTGTGAGAGTACATTTCTGGCGGATATTGTGGCTGCAGTTTTAATTGCTATGATGGGTCAGCGGTAGAGCAAGATGATTGCAATCGGAAGGTAGCGAGTTAAGTTTATTAAGTTTATGGATGATGTTTGCAATCGGAAGGTAGCGAGTTAACCCTTTCCCATTCCGAGACGTCTGCAAGTTGTAAGGTGTGTCACGTTCCCCGCTGAATCTCGGATTGCGCAAGCAGTTAGCATTCTTTTTTTTTACAGAAGCTTAGTGCTGTTGTTTTTAAATACATTGTACTCGCCGCAGAGAACTGTAGTGAGACAACCACACTCTTTGATAGCTGGTGCCAAACTGCCACACTCCTTCCCGGATGGCCTTGTGGGAGTCTCGGTACGGCTTCCTTATTTAGTTTATCTTTTGATTCCGTTCTGATGACGTACACGTACATACGTGTACATCATAGGAACAAACTCCGAAGAAAAACTGATGACATACATCTATGTCACCGGAATGGGAAAGGGTTAAAATGCTAGTTGGGGGGTTGGCTCAGTCATCGTTCTTCCGCGGTTGATAAAACAAAAGTGGTTGTCCTATGGATCAAGTCGTTCCTGCCATAGCAATGTTGAATGTCAGTCCAATCCTAGTTAACTACAACAATAATTATCATATAAAGTTTATATTATTGTTTCATTAGGCTTTAAAAGCTAATGTTTTTGGTTTGACTGCCACATGATAACATCTCCATAGCAGGGGAGGTAGAAAGTGCGGCACCTCCAGTATGGCTAAAGAGAGGTTACAAGAAGTCAGAAGGGACCTCGGAGGTACATCTGTGATATCTGCTTCTGCGGGCTGTTCTCTAACATGGGATGACGCACTGCTCTACGAGACTTCTCAATGGATGCTTCGTCCCTTGGCTTGACAGCAATAGCGCAGTTGGAATAAAGTGTTTGGAAATAAGTCCAAAAAGTCACATTGTCTGTCACCCCGTGACCTATTTAACAATAATATTAATAACTGTTATAATATTATGACTCAAAATATCAATGTGTTTCCACACCTTGTTAATTACTATAATATTGTATTGATTAAATAGTTATAGTATTTCCATGCTCTATTAATGACTCTGTAAATGTCAACAATCTCAGGCTGCGTTTACTTCGCAAACGAATCATTTCACTTTCTCCTTTCTCAACCGAGTATTGCACGGCGGTGCTCATATTCTTGTGATCGACTCGTGGAAATTCTACATTCTCATGGAAACGGCAGAATCTGCCCTCCTGCCCTCCAATGATCAATGAATTGTCACAATTCGGGGTGACAATTCGATTCAAACATCGATTGTGTTTTATTTTTACAATCTCATTTGTGTTTTTGTTGGCCCTGTCTCATTCATACAGTTTTGTAAGTTAACACAAGCCTAAATGTAACATCGGCGTGTAATTTACATAAAGTGTAGATAATTCCTCACGCGCATGAACCGTGAATGCAAGAAGCGAGAAATATCGAACGAAATATCGAACGAATATCGAACGAAATATCGATGCATATCCACATGCCCTCATAACTGTTCATATTCCAATTTAGTTATGTCGTCGTTGAGCGATCACCAATCTCACTGTCAGATTATTGTGTGTGCTGTTTAACGCGTGGGTGAGTGGCTGATTGCATTAAACCGTGATGTGCCCAGGCACGAAGCAATCGAGACTCACTCAGCGCTGTTAATCATTAACCACGACGGCTGTGAAAAGCTGTGAAAACGTCACCTGTAGGCCCCCCCACTCCCCCATTAGCTGTTCAGACTAACCCCTTTTAATCATCGGCACCCCTGTGTGTGTGTGTGCGCGTGTGTGTATGTATGTATGCCGGCCTTAATAGGTGCTCGCTAACATCACTTGCCCCAACAGTCTATTAAGCCTATACAGGGGATCTTTGTATTTGTATGTGTGTGTGTGGGGAGCACCTCGTCTAGCACACTTTGTGGCGAATGGCTGTTGTTGTAGGGAGCGGCAGCGGTTAGCGCGCTGCGCTATGAATGCGGTAACCCGAGTTTGATTCCCGCTCACGGCCACCACCAGTGACGATTATCTGAACCGGGCCTGGGCCTCCCCAAAGTCGACTGCCTCAAATGAGTACCTGGTATGGTGTGTAAACATCGCCACTGGAGAGACAAAGGCGGTTGGGCGTGGTGCTGGCCACCCACCCCCTCGTGTGCCATGCCGGCCTTCAAAGGTTCTACTCGCTATATGGGGGAACTTTGTCTTTGGTCATGTTAACGAATGTGTGCGTACATGCGAGTCTTTTTGTCTGTCCGCACGTGTGCGTGTTCAGCCTAGGTGAGCTGCATGGACAGGTGGATGGATTGGGCAAATCTCAGGTGAGCTCAGCATGCATCAGACTCAACAGACACTTTCCAATCGGTTACTAGCTCGACCCCTAACCCCACTATCCAATCAGACACCAGCTTTGGCCATAACCCGAAGCACACTAGACAATTACACTTCCTTCCTAACCGTTTCAGTGGTATCCCAAAATACTTGTGGGGGGGTTTCTCCGTTGTTTTACATTTTCTTCCCACATGCCAAGTGCTCATGAATGGAATGGGCCAAGCACCTCAGTGCATAGCCTGTGTGTGGTAACAATGTGTGTGGGGGGTAGGGTCTGGTTAACGTGAGTGTGTGTGTGTGGAGCGGGTTAGTACACCGCACTACGAACCCGGCAACCCGAGTTCGCTTCCCGCTCGCGGCCAACGCCAGTGACTATTATTTGAACTGGTCCTGGGCCTCCGCTAGGTGAACTTAGTCTGAAATTAGTACCTACTGTGGTGTGTAATCATCGTCATTTGGGAGACGAAGGCAGCTGGGCGTGGTGCTGGCCACCCATCCCCTCGTGTGCTATGCCGGCCTTCATAGGTGCTACTCGCTAACAGCACTTGCCCCAACAGTCTGTTAAGGCTACACAGGGGATCTTTGTCTTTGGGGGACGGTGTCCGATTAACGCAAGTGCGGTGGTGGAATTTGTGAATCTTGCGTCTCGAATGCAGAGTGAGGTAGCGAAGGTGTTGGGCCCTGATGGAACCCTCATGCCCCTGAAAAAAGGTACATCGACGCTAATATATAATCATTAATCGTAACAATATCATTGTAATAATTTTCATCATCATCACCATTTTTAAATATCATCATTGTCCAATGGTATCAAAATGGTGATCATGTTCAGCATCATTATCGTGCTGATTAACATTTTCATAAACAACTTCATAATTTTTAACAATCTTATCATCAATCATCATAATCTCCAGGAGCAATATCATCAATATCATCATCAATGCATATTTCCACATGAATAAACCTGATAGAGCGGCGGTTGCAAACGCCAATGTCTGAACCCAAACCCGTTTCCTCCTGCCTGGCTTTGCCACAAGAAGGTCACCCGGACACGCGGTCACGTGGGTGTTAAAGTGACGGCGAGCCACGGCAGATCGTGTTTAACTTGTACATCAAATACATTTACATTAAGCTCGGACTCATAACGACATCTATCACTGCCACTTCTGCCGCTGGTGCTCGTGATGAGAATGAAAAATCCTCACCGAGCCGCTTCCGTCTCCCCTTCTCTGACCTCCGATCTCCCGCCGAGCAGAAAAACCCGCAATGGTGCCACCCGTGCTATGGACGAGCAGCGAACTGCGGCAGTTCAAGACGCGCGTGGCGCAGGAGCCGCACGGAGTGCTGCGCATTGGGTGCGGCGAGGTGGGCACCGTGCGGGTCCCCACCCGCCCCGGGGCCTCGCACCTCTGCTGGGAGTTCGCCACGGACAGGTGCGGCCCATTGTCATCGTCATCATTGGCTTGTCATCGTCATCATTGGTTTGTCATCGATCCGCTGCTGGATGAAGGCCGTCGGCATCTTGCACGGTCCTGCGGTGCAGAAATCTGTCTAGCTAGCACCAGGGAATTCACTGCACGCTCTCCACGAAGGATGTACCTTCGTGCGTGTTCCCTGCTTTGGATGCTGCTCCGTGTTTAGTCTCAGCCGCTGGCGATCATTGCTTTTGGCGACGTGTCCTGCCTCGGCCCACTTACGTTTGTTCACGATAAATGTGGCGTCTCTAACTTTAGTATATCCTCGAAGCCACGTGCTCCTCTTGTCGACTCGCTGTGTAATTCCAAGCATCCATCTCTTTATGCTCGTGCATGTCGTTCCATCTTTTTTTCTTCAGTTTCCATATGTCACAGATTATGATTTCCCAATCTCCCACCCTTACACTCAGCCAGGCAGCCAGTCGCCCACTAAACTCGACAGTTACTGAGTCATACAACCAGTTATACAACCATCCAGCTTCCCAACCATCCAGTCGACTACCCAGTCGTTAAGCCAACGAGTCACCCAGCCCGTTGCCACACGTTGTGTCATGTTCGATAATGCGTGCGTAACACATGTTGATTTTTTGTGTTTTGCACGTGCATTGCGTGTCTTGGGTGTGTGAGCATGTGGTCAATTTGAGTATATTGTTTTTTTCTATCTATGTGACTTTACCGAAAGAACCAAAGAATACAAAGAATATGTAACGAGTATGTCGTGTGGTCGCCATCAGTATTCAGAGGACAAAGCTGACCAGACTTGTCCGCTGCTGGGCACAGCACGTCTTCGTGTGCCTTTGCCGGTTTTAATAAACGCTCGGGCAATAACTAGGGGGTGGGGGCGGCAATGGTTACGCGCAGCACGTTTACTGTGGGCAAGTCAAGGCAACTTGGTCGGGAAGTGGCATAGATTGGGCGGTGTCCATTCCACGTGTTTCCATGAGAAGTGTGTTTTGTGAACAGCGCTCTGTCCGGAGAGAATTGCAGCCACTAGTTCTGCTAAGCCTCTCCCTCGCTGGCCCCACAGCTACGACCTGGCATTCGGCCTCTACTTCGAGTGGAACGAGGAGCCGGGCTGCGACGTCACGGTGAGCGTGAGCGAGTCCAGCGACGAGGAGGACGAGGACGATGACGAGGGCGTGCAGGGGAGCGGCGAGGGTGGAGCCGGCCCCTGTCAGAGGTGGGTTTGCGCCGGGGTAAATGTTGGTCAGGGATTAGGCTCGGGGTTAGGAATTCGGCTTTGGCTTAGAGTAAGGGTTAGGAATTAGGGTTATGATCGGTGTTAGGAATAAGGTTTAGGGTCAGGGTTATGAATAAGGCTTACGGTTAGGATCAGGGTTAGGCATTAAGGTTAGGGGTCAAGGTTGGAGTCAGGATTAGGGGTCAGGGCTATGGTTATGGTCAGGATTGAACTTAAGAGTTACAGATTATGATCCAGGTTAGGATTAGGTTTAAGCATCAGGGCTAGGGGTCAGGGTTAGGCCATTGCGGTTGCGCTCCACGCAATATCCCGCCGTCATGCCCACTCCCCGACCCCCCCGTGTGCGTCACAGCCGCAGCCACAGCAGACGGCGGCGTGAGCGACGTGGAGCGGGGCAGCAGCCGCCCCTCGGAGCCGCCCCTCGACGAGGTGGAGCCCCTGTGCCGTCGCAACTGCCACGAGCTGGTGCAGTGTGGCACGCACTGCTACCCGGGCGTCGGCCTCTACCACCTCAAGTTCGACAACTCCTATTCGCTGTGGCGCTCCAAAACCCTTTACTACCGCGTGTACTACAACTGAGTTAAGGCCACGCTGCTCTCGGGCGATTATTAGGGCAATCGTTCAACCGGTTCTGGCAAACTTGTGGTAGTGCAGTGGCACAGAGTGATGGAGTTCTATCTGGCCAATGATTTTGTTGAAAATTGTGACGGAACAATGATTGGTCCACAGACCACACCACATTGGGTCGTTGCGTGACCTTTGAATGATGATTGGTCTACTGAGTAAAAACCCCCCTTGGATTTTGATATGACCTCTGTCTCGGATCTGATTGGAAAGTTGCTGTCACATTTGATCACTACGTGGAACAGATTTGTCCACCTTTTAGGCAACAAAATTTTTAAAATAAGAAACGGAGCAACAATGATTGCTGATGATAATTGCCGGCAACAATTGTCCTACATTTTCCCTAGTGTCTCGTGCCCTTCAGGAATCGGGATTGAATGAGGTGGGAATTCTGGACAGAGGTTTGGTGTAGGCATGTAATAATTCACATCCCCACTGCGATTGGATGATTTGTTGTTATTGAGGGTCACGATTCGATTCAAGAACTTAGGTGTCATTAGTTTGCAGGATTTACAGGTTTTACATGAAACAAACACGTACGTGTTCACATCAACAGTCATAGATTCCTAAACATGTGATTAAAAAATCGTAATTGTGAGCCTAAGAATAGATTTTGATTTATGAATCAATGCATCTTTACATCTTAAGTAACACTTCAATCTGCTATATTCTTATCCTTGCGATACACGGCATGAAACGGCACGTATAAGAATTGTATGGTTACAGCCCTGCAATCACTGTACGGTCCACTCGTTCCACCACACCGAGAGAAACGAACAGGGACCTCCAATCGTGGAAGGGGACGAATCGTTACATGGATTTTTCTAGTCAGGAAGGGGGCCTCGCCGCAGGGAGAGGCTATATGGGAGAGAGAGAGAAGCCCCACGCTGGGAGGGGTGGGGAGCTTAGGGGGAAGCAGTGAATTTGACTGCAAACAGGAAGGTCCACTGCGGGGTTTGCGACGAGACGGACAAGGCCGCGAGTGAGGTGGCGGTCGGTCTGTTGCGAGCCTCTAGTGGGCGGGATGATTCGCTGTAGCCATGGAATCAATGGAGGGGGAGCAGCCTTTCCTGCGAGTCGACCAGTCCATCGGCTGTACAGATATTACTCGTTTTTAAAAGTCTCGAACGTGGGATACTCCATACGATCAGATCGCTTGCGTTTGTCAGCGACAAAATGTGGCCATTCGTGTGCTTGCACGCACGGAAAGGGAGCGCCTCCCCTTTCGCAATTCCGAAAGTACTCACCGTTGAGGTAGTTGTGTAGTCCTTGCTATGATTATTATTTTGTATTTACCATTCCTAAATTAACTGTGTACTAGTTTTACGAAAAGGCCCATGTGTAGCACCGTTTGTTGGACTCGGCATTTGCGACGACACGTTATCCGAAGGGCGTTTGTTACGAATTAACTTATATTGTTAAGACGAGTCTGTCAATGTTGTGTGTTCATATGCTTTAGAAGGTGGGGCGGGGGGGGCAGATGTGTTGAAGTGCAACAAGGGTTAGATGATAACGAATCAGTGTAGGATGGGCAGGGGGTCTAAGCTGGGGTTAGAGTTAGGCAGCGAACTGTGTTTACCCGTCTGGTTGGGAAGCGTTACACTTTGTACCGCACCTGCGTTTCTCAAGTTGTAGACCGAAGGTGTATCCGCCAAGCAGCGGACAATTGTCCGTGGCTCAACCTCACAAACTCTTGTAGCCATTATTAAGCCTCTTTGTAACATGTTTTTGTGATGATATTGCACATACCTTTTGCCATCGGGAGACCGATACCCCCCCCCCCCCCATTGTCCAAGAGCACTCATTTAAAGGTCGGGTCGCCCGTGGGAATGGAGTTACTGCTAACAGGGCCCACCTGCACATGCTGTCACCAACCCAGAGCAAGCTCTCTCCGTGGACTAGCGGCAAAATCAGAAAATATTTAGTGAGAAATGAAGCCCTCCCTGGCTTGCCATAATTTCACGATGGCCGAGTTGGTGGCAGCATCGATGAGGTGGAATCAATCGCCGCCTCCTATGGCGAGCGGAAATATTTTTGCAGAGTAAGACGACAAAGTTGCGTTTTGTCGAGGTTTTCCCGTGGCTTGGACGCCGCCGCCGCCGCGATTGGGTTGCACTGAGCAGAAGCCAGAAACGACCTCGGCTCAGGCAGGCCGAGGGCTCTGGAACTTACGAACACCAGTGCCAGGTTTAACAGAGATTGTCGCTTTATCGTGTTAGTTGCTTGTTTAAAAACAACGGACATGCAAATTATACCTGCTCATAAAGTACACGAATATAATTGAAAGTTTCGCCAAATATGCTGCCATTTTCGTAAAAAAAAGTTCATCCCGTCCAGACACAAGGGAGGACATTACAGGCCCCAAATGGCCAACTTGTGACTCTGCTAATTCGTATTTATTCCACCACGTGTGTGCACAAACACATTTCGCAAAGTGAACTTGTACATTTTGTGCTCCATTCACCTCAATGCTATTGGCAAATAAAATTACTTTGCTAAATGTAAAAGCCATGTTTTTTTTCTTCCAAGAATCATGTGTTTCTATCCTATTAAAGTTTACTAGAATAAAACCACACACTCATTGGCCCACTTTACAGTGTCATGTCTACTAGCCAGTGCTCGAATTAGTTTTTTTGGGTTCCAGTGACCTCATCCCCACCGTAGTCACTGACTTTTCACACTCCACAGTGGCCTTCAAATAAGTAAAGCAATAACTCTAGACCAGGGGTGGGGAAGTCCGTCCCGCGGGCCGTACAAGGCCCGCGAAATAATTTGGTCTGGCCCTGCCAAGGCAACCGCAGGCAGGACTCGAAATTCAATAAATCTAGGAGTAAACCTGGAAAAGCAGTTGCGAGTAGCAACATCATCAATACCAGCTAACATGACACACCTCACCAAAGAGGAGTTCTAGCCATTACATTAGGGGTGAGTTAATTAAATGTTTGACCAAACATAACAGGCTAATTTTTAGGTTGATAATTTTGTCTGGCCCGCGAATGATGTTATACATATCTAAATGGCCCTTGGCAGAAAAAAGATTCCCCACCCCTACTCTAGACGATAATTGAACGCGCCCCGCTGATCAGTAAATAAAGACACCCTGGTACTGTTAATGTGGGTCCGAGGTCTGGAATTTGAGACGCCTCTGCTAACGTGATAGCTGGCAGCCGTCGCTTAGAGTGTACCTTATTGTTAATTTGTACAATTTACTCTGGTCACAATTATTAGAACGTTTTAAAAAAAAAACATCGCAATTACAGCCAACATGGACAAGAAAAACTATCTACATTGTATTACATTTTCCAATACATTTAATACAATTAATTTGGGATAATACAAATAAACGAGCACATCTTGGCGTTCATGTGGGGGCGTCGTGGTGAGATGTTATGTCCCTCACCTGGTCTGCAGGTTCGATCCCAGATCCTGAAAATGCCTGTTGTATATTTGAATAGTGCATGTTGTATATTTGAATAGTGCATGTTGTATATTTGAATAGTGCATGTTCTCCCTGTGGTTGTGTGGATTGTTCTCCGGGTCCTGTTTTTTTTGCCTCCACATTTAGATGATTTGCCTCCTGCGATACATTTCCACATGATAATGGTAAGTCATTATGATGAGCTTCATCATGTGTGGCCAGGTCACTTCTGAAAAAAAGCGATAGAGCTCAGTGGGCTTTACCTCGTAGATATAAATTAATGTGTGTAAGAGGCTTGCTGGTGGGAGATTATCCGATTGAATGGATTAGCTTTAATGACTTTGAGTTGCTCAAAATAACAATTCTCATCTCGTGCAGTAAAATAAAAAGGATGACGTGAGAGGAAGGGTACTGTGGGTGGGATGATGAACTTCTGGGGAGTGGCAGGTACCCAGTGGGGAGACGCCCGGCTCACGTCACAAACGCTTCCTCTGGAATCTGTCCCCGCAGTCTGCCAACGGGGAAGTAACCGTCGTTTGAAGGAAACCCGAGACGGAGCTGCAGCAGGAAAGCCAAGCAAGGGCTTAAAACAGGGTTAGGGTTAGTGTCTTGAGACTCGGGGATTATTTCACCCGATACAGGACTACAATTTGTTGTAGTCAAGGGTGAATAGTTAGTGATCTGGTTAGTGGTGTATAGGGTTTTGTTTGTATTAAAGCTTGCGTCATAAGGTTGATTAAGAGGAATTGGCCACCACAGAGCCATAAAGGAAAAACGAGGTTCTGTATGTATGTTGAACTTCTATCGCACCGTACGTAGTCAACCGTGCTCATTATAATTGTGGAAATAGCTCGAATGTGAAATTCGTCTCGCAAACCGTGTTGTCGATGGACAAGGTCGAGCACTTAATGTTTTTCTATTTAAGTCAACATGATGAAGCGTCTCCGGCCCGACAAGTCCACGTGGTGCATGAAGGCCTCATCTCTACAGTACTGCTCGTTTGCGGGAGGAAGTCACTGGGGGCTTCTGCTGGCAGGGAAACATTATTTATAGTCGTTTCCATTTTCCTCGGAGTGCTTTTTCTTTTATCCCCCCGCCCCCCCGTGCAGTGCATTGGGAGTTGGGAATGAGGCTTGCACACCACCGGTGTGCGCGGTGATACTGGTGATGTGTCATGTGTAAAGCGTGTTGAGGTGTGGATGCAAACTTCTTTTGTACCTTACGTAACCAACCGTGCTAATTGGTAAACAAAAAGCAGTGTGCGCACGTATGAGATGTGTGAAAAAGGGGTGTTGCGACCTGTGACAGGGATGTCTTTTGAAGTGAAAGATGTGTGAGATGTGTGTGGTGAGCACAGGGGTGGGTGAGATGCGTGTCCGGTCCGACCTACAAAAAATGTCAACGTTCATCCGCAAATTTTCCACTGGTAAGCGGAGTTCCAAGTGTTAAATAGATCCAACGGTTAACCTTTTAACAATTCACTTGTGGGTGAATGTAAACATTTTGGATTTGGTTTCTGACGCCAGCACAGCCGACTGTTTCAAGCATCGATCCATTGATCCAAACCGATGGGAGTTCATCCACATTAAACGTAACCACCGAAAAAATGGAAAGTTTAAAATACCGACTCCACGTTCCAGTGATCGGCACACAAGTGGAGCGGTATGGAGTGTGGTGGCATAGAACTAAGTGTTATACTGGTAGGAACCTCCTGGTTACACCAGCCCACAGGGGATTATTGTGTCTGTCCGTCGTGCAGGGAGGGGCTGGGTGGGGAGGGGCTGGTCACCCCGTGGTGCCCTTATAAAACTCAACGTTTAACCTACTCACGCCGGCTTGTGCCCACCCTCAGTCGGGCATATTTGCAGAATACACCACGCCGCTGCCGTTGATCCTGGCCATTGACCGAGCAACCCAACGTTCCTACCAGCTCCCTCCGCAGGAATGTGTTTTCAAATCGTGTTTGGGTGTCATTTGACAGAACTGTCTGACAATTTCAATCAGTGCTTGTAGTTTACTTGTAACAAGAGAAGTTCAGAATTATAAGTGATAGAGATGGGCTAATAGTTAAAATATCAAATATTAGATCCTTCTGAAAATTGTCTTCAGACTGTGAACCTTCACATTTAATGACACAAAAGCAACCCTATACACATGTGCAGTGCTCGCCAAAGATTCATGTTTTTTTTATTCATTTCAACACAGCGTATGCGTGTAGTAGTGACCCACGCGCCAACCTAAGTGTTGTCAGCAGCATGACTCAAGCCATGGGTGTTACTATTGTACAAGGGCTAAAACACATCCATTTTTCAACACAAAGGTTAAAACATGTAAACAGGAAGCAAACTCCCTCACGGGACAAAAAAACAAGATAAATTGAAGAAATATCTTAGTACCATTTATATATTTGTAATCTATGTACATGATGCTAATTATAGTCTTAAAAGGTAAACTGATTTATTTTGAAATGGCAACTGAGATATATTGATATCTTGGAGGCATTTTATTTGTCAACCCTTAAAAGACTTACACTTGAATATTATCATAAATCTTTACATTTGATTTATTTGTTTTTCCTTTCAGGGAGGCAGGGTGCTTACATAAAGATAAAACCCAAAAAAACGTAGCTCTTTGTAGTTTCATGCCTAGTTAGGGTCATGTCCGAGACAGATCAACACAAATTGTAAGCTTTAATGAGTCACGATTTATACGGATTCGTAAATAGTTTCTTCTCGGTTAGAGTTTGTAATGTCAAAGTCATGGTCAAGAAATTAAACACATCACCACTTGAGTTTCAGAGAAACTAAAGACCAACAAATGGCTACAGGAGGCAGATGGTGTTTCAATGTTGTTTTTTTGTTCCTGCAATGGACATGGATTGATAAAGTTTTGCCAATGGGAAAAATAGAAACTAATTTTCTTTTTATTCAACTTAATTTTCTATCTTTTGAGTCCCTTGGCCAACAATTTGAGATTTGTCCAATTTACTTGCATTTCCCTTTACAAAGAACATGCCAGTGTTCGCAGTTGTTAAAGACTATTACATCAGCTTTAAAGGGTTTTTTTAGTTAATTTTACAAGCAATTCCTCTCTGCTTTCCGCATTCAAATATACACATTTTTACACGTATTTTAATTCCACAGCACACGATTGAGGGCATTTTTAAGGGTAACAGACTGTAAACTGCAATAGTTTTACAGAATAATTTTCACATTTTTATCAAATTATAAACTTTGCCATGGTTAGTAGGCCACGGTTTAAAACCTTCATCCGCCGTGTGGGTAAAAGCATTTATTTGTGTAGGGGTGCTGCACAGCACAAACGCTACACATTCATCTCTTGTTGATAAATTAATCAAACAGCGAAAGACCGTTCAACGAAACAATAAGAATAAACATTTGGCAATAATTGACGAGAGGCCCAGACCTATCCTCCTTCGCTACCACCGCATTGACGCTAACAGAGCCTTCTTTGCATCAGTAAGACCAAGTGGCCTTCGGGATTGAGGGGTTTGTGCAATCAATACACTTCTCAAACAATAATAATAATAACCACATATTGCTCCCTGACGTGGGAGACTGAAAAAGGAAGTGTTAGGATACCTGATGTCGTCATACCCTCCCGCTAAAGTGACCAACCTCTGAGCTCACTCACAGAGAACGTGACTGTGCGACGGAGTTTTGACCGCTGGGCAGGGCGAATCTCATGAGTCGAATGGGCATTCCATGGGGTTCTTGCAGCAGAAGTAATGCACCAGCACGCCAGACGGGTACCGGGCAAAAGCACTGAGATAGCAAAAAAAAAAGCAACGCATGGGTTACAAAACATTTCTAACATACGTTTGTCTGCAGAAATACGGAATTATCAGTACACAAGCCACCGGGGGGGGGGGGGGAAACAAACATTTGTAAATACTGCAGTCATTTATGCTCTGGTTTATGTCTTGGAGTTTTGGCCGATTTTCAATAAAGCACAGATGGGTTCACAATAGATCATATTTACGAGACTTATGCCCTCCTACCGATCCCCCATTATAAACGGACAGCGCTAATGCATACACGCTTTCAATCTTCATGGGAGAGCGTTACGAAATTAGCAAAGAATCAGATGTATGAAATCATCAAGCATGTTCAGCTTATAACTAAACACACTGCTGGTTTGTATCGCTTTCATGTTTTACACATTTAATTAATTATTAACTGACAAATGTTTATTACAAAGTTGTGTGTTTTATGTGCAACAGACAAACAACACACACAGCAATCGTACAAATAAACAAAGCAATGGATAATAGCATAAACAGCGGCAATAGCTCAACGTAATGTCGCAGTGAAAATATCACTTTTTTTTTAAAGCTTGCTACCTAAACAGGTGCCCACAGAGGTGGCTGAACAAATGTGTCTTTCGACCCACTCCGAGAAGTTGGTGCTTACCTGCTCCCGATCTTTTTTTTGCAAACGCGGCATAACTTCTCCTCGGTGATGACGCACTTAACGCTCTCGTAAAAGATCCTTTGCTCCTGAACCTGCGCAATCGATGTATGGACATGGAGAGTTATGTGTCAACAGCGATTCCAACATGGGCCGGCACAATCGGTCAACATCGAACCCAATTCACCATCACCGCATTAGCACTTTGTAGCTCCACCTCTGTTGAACGCCCTCCTGCCCAACCGTATCCATGACGAGTCGATGTTTTTTTTAAGTCGCGACTGAAAACTCACTTCGACGTCGCTTGTGCAGCACTATACCAATGACTCTATGCGATCTGTTCATCCCAATTGTATTGTCTTGCATAGCACTTTTTTTGTTGAAAAGCTAGCACTGGCCGCGCATTTACACGGGATACATGGCCGGGATGAAGGGTAGGTGTGGGGTGTGACGTCAGCGCGACGCACTAACCTGGCCCGATGTTGTGGGACGTGGGTGATGTCATCACGCAGATGTGCACGGTCATGTCATCAATGTGCACATGCCGATCCCGGACTGGGCACCAGCCAGCTAGCCAGCCAGCCAGCCAGCCAGCCAGCCAAACTTTTGTTCTAATCTATATTGGTTGCCCTGATATTTTGTATTCAGTGTTGAAATCAACACACGTACAGCGCTTTGTGATATCTCGACGAAAGACATTGTGTAGAAATATAAACTATTATTTATTATTAGCGCTTGACAATGCAGAAAAAAACATTGCTGTGCTGTACTGTATTATGCTCCGGAAATGCTCTCCACTTCACCAAACCACACTGGCCAGCGGCGTGAAGTATGCCAAATAACTCCTCGTATGTATGCATTTTTTATTTCTTCCGCACCCTATGTAGCCAACAGTGATAAATCGGAGGTGCAAGGGAAGGACAACACTAAACACGAAAAGCAGTTCTAAAGAACGGAGTTTTCAATCTAGATTTAAAAGTGCATAGCTCCTAATATTGGAAGGAAAAGCATTCCAGACAGCCGCAGAATCGCATCGGACCCGTACGAACAGCGTGGCCAGGCCTTCTTTGAGCAGTTAATTGATAAAAGGGGTGTATAACACGAACAACCCACTTTGAACCTTGTGTAAACCGTTCTTGCGGCACTGGGTTCGAGTGCAGAACGAATACATTTGGCCGCCAGGTCTGGGATGTGGCCGGGCAGTGCTCACCCGCAGGTGTTCCGACAGCTGGAGGCTCTTGAGGATCTGGTACGAGCGGCGGCTCTCCGCCTTCTCCTCCAGAACCCGCAGCAGGAACTCCTGCACCTGGCAGATCTGCACGTTGGCTGGCAGCAGGTTCAGTGCCTGCGCACAGATTGATGGGAGCAAGAGGCAAGCGCACGTGTTGCACACACACAATTAAAAAAAATTATGAAAACTCTTCCAAGCGCATGGATTTAATTAGCAGCATGGAAGCCTATGGGTATTTGTCAGGGAGAAATGCAATTATCCCTACCCTTGGCTCAATATGTGCTGCATGCATTACAGGCGTGTAAAACCACGTGTCTCATGCGATTTAGCAAATTTGAGCTTGCTTACAGCAATGTGATGATCGTCTGCTCATGGGGTGACGGTGCTATCTGTTCCACAATTTTTTTCACTATTAATGTCAGGAATGGTTAATGGAGGTTGTAAAATAATGTAAATTACTTTTCTGGGAAATCCTCGTTGAGCCTTAAGACTCATTACTAAGACAGTCCTCGACTGGGATTCTGGGTAAATTAATTTAATGCGTTACATGGGAGAAAACCCATACATAGAAGGAGACAACTCAAACCTCCACATTTAGAGTCACCCAATTGTTATACTGTCATCTCCTGCTCATTGTGTAGCAAAAGCCTACAACATCTGCTATTCTCGGGCAGTCCACCACGCAAGTGATAATCGATCTCAACTTTGCTTGGTGTCCGAAATCCGATGGGACCGAGAACATTCTGGATAATTTGCCGGCAAGGGGCGCACGGGCAGGCTACGTGCCTGTGTGGTGTCCACGCGGCTGTAGTGCTGCTCTAGGAGAAGCAGGGCGGCTGGCAGGTTGGGCTTGGGCTTAGGAAGCCCGAGGGTCAGGGGTCCCAACTCGCGGATGTCCGGCGGAGACAGGTAAAGGCGTAGCAGCATAAGGTACACCTGGGAGCAAAGCAAATGTTGAACTTTTGTTTAGAACAAGCAGGCAGGTGAATATGGGCGATTAAGCCGTAAGTACAATTTTTTCAGACTTTGTTAAAAGTCAAGGTTTCACTGCATAAATGAGATCTTATTTATCAATGGCTGAGAGCAACTGGTAGAAATTCCACATTCCTTATAGAACACAGGTGGGGAACCGCTTTACGACTGAGGGCCAAATGAAGCTTAAACGTTCGAATACTTCTATTCACAGAGTATACTGACAAACAAGTCTCTTATCTATAAACAGGGGAGAACTCATTGAGACCAAAAGTCTTCTTTTCAAGTCGCATGACCTTGTCACATAGTGGTCCATGCTGGCAAAAAAGTGGGTTTACACTAAAAAACACCATTTCGAATGTGTTTGCAATTGAGAAAGTGGTACTATTAAGTTCACCGAGTCACACACTTACATCTTTGTTGCCTTCTTTGGTTCGGTCATAGTACTTCCTGCAGTGCCTAAATTTACAAAAAAACAAGGAGTTTACTAAATATTCCAAGAACATTAAATATTAAAGCAAATGCCAAAGCAACATCAGTGTCATGCAGAATATCACATTATACTAAATAAAAGTAAACACTAATTTGTTTTGATTTATATAACCAAATCTCTGATGTTAGAAAATGTATGACATTTTGTTGAATCCAGTTACTTTTGCAGACAAATGTCCTGTCTCTAGTCCTACTTGCGCTTCTTTACCATGCGTCTGCCACATAGTTGAGTTGCCAGTTTGCCACATGAAGTTCACTGTAAAATACTGATTGTGTCAGTGAATGTCGGGAGTGGTGGCACCATGGTTCACGTACCGATTTCTAATCCAGATGACTCCAGGCTTCATCAATGCCAGCCCATGCCAACCTTCAATTGCTATCTGAGCCTGACAAGGATATCACTATTACCTGGTAGGTTTTGCTACAATATCAAGGCATTGTTATTCGAGGTGGAACAATTCACCAGCCCAGGATTCGACAAACTGGCGGGTTTGAGGGTTGCAATTGGATTCAATAACTCATCCTTAAATATTGCAGTGAACAGTAGCGCCTCAAGTGGCTGACGGAGGACCACAAATGCATCGCTCACATTTACAATTGGAAAAACACCAATTCCTACAAACATACATTTGACCTTGTACCATCAGCTTAAGAACAAACATTAAACTGATGAATCGATGCATCTATCCACTTCGACTTGTCACCAAATGTCACTAGTGTGACAAACCATGTCCGAACTGGTCCTGGGCTTCCCCGAGGCCGACTCGGCCTCAGATGAGCAAACAAGTGCCTGGCGCTGCATGTGACGAACTGCACTGTGGATAATAAAATAAAATATTTAAAAGTACTTATTTTTTTAAAACACGCTTTAATGAAATGTACCGTACTCGCAATGGCAGAACTCCACGACTCCAGGAAGTGGCCCCGCAGCTTGCCACAGCGTAAGGAGACCGTGATGATTTACAGGCAATGTGAGTTGAGCGTGGACAATTAGATCCGTAAAAAATATTGTTTAAAAATATATATTTTTAATTTTTAATGATAGAATATAGTATTGTCATCAGTATCACATACCTATACCAAGTTTGCAGTCGATATGACATTGGGAAGACGGTTGAAAATTGAGTTACAAGATTTTATAAGGATACGACAACAGACTTAGTGAGTTAAATAAACGCGTGTAAATAAAAAAAGAGCCAGGTGTGCATTGCCAGCACCCCATCGTGTAACCTTGTCAAGTACTCACTGACAGGCGTTGCTCTCAGTCTACATGGCTAAGCTGGGGGGATCACGGTGTTTGTTGAGAGCGTATACGCGTGTGTGACAATGGTGCTCAGGCACACACGTACTCTTCCGCGGCGGGATAGTTGTGCAGCACGTGCACGTAGATCTGCAGAGCCTGCTCGTGACTGCCCATGCGACCCAGAAGCAGGGCCCTCTCCTCTAAAAGACCTGTTAACGACAGCAACCAGGGTGGGGGGGGGGGGGGGGCGGTGTGCATGGCTACAAGGGAAAATGCAGGGCAGTGGCAAGGGGTTGAAATAGGGACGTGAAGACTGCACATTTACTCAGACGAGTGTAGACAATGCACTGCTAGGTGAAGGCCTCCAAACACTGTGTTGGTTATGGGGGTTGTCTGACAATACTTCACCACACTAGTCCTTGTAGGTTGGTGAAGGGGGTCTACAAACAGATCATGTCATCAAACACGTAAAACAATCTCTCTTGTACAAGGCAGCATTGTTCACAGCTACAGGTAACAAAATAAACACACGTAGCATGAGCAGGCTGGAGTTCCATGATGCCTCCAGTGGTCTAACGTGATAGGTATGGGCCCTGGTGAAAGCAAGGGCCCCATGCTTAATTTTCCCCATCTCTGCGGTCCAGAGCCTTGGCTCCTCCGGTCCATGGGCTACGGGTACAGTTGCACTGCTTGCATGCTTGATAGCTATGCCACTGGATGAACATACCATCAAGGGGGAAGTCGGTGATGAGCTGCCCCGGTTGGTACGAAATCGAGATCTCCAGGAAGCTCAGCAGCTTGTTGCGGTACTCGCCCAGCTTTCCGGGCTCCGAGCCGGGCGCCACTGTCTGGCGCAATCCTGGCACCAAGCACACAGCAGCAGCAGCAGCAACACCGACAGACAAAACTCATCAACGTATACAAATCCAGAAAGGAAGCATCTACCTGCTGAAACGAGTGTGGGCAGCGCTCATCCTCTATGGTTGTACTGAACCCCAGTGGAGGAGACTACACATTTCTATGGCAAGGATCGACCTCACAACGGAGATACTCATTGTGGATTTCCCACAAAGTGGTACGAGTTTTATCGAACCTGGCGAAACGTTGGGCAGTCAACCCTCAATCGGGATATGAACTCACAATATTCTTAGTATAAGTTAAGCGCTCTAACCACAGTACCGTGCCTGGCAATATCTATTTAGTAATGCATCATAATTTTTTACTTAATGGTGATAGGATTTATTTAATCTAGGGGGTTAATCAGGCTGCTTATAATTCGCCAAATATGATTAGGCATGTTGTGGCAAAGCACGTTAAGCCAAATCCACGCTGTCACGTCAGCTGATGCTGCTTGCGCACCTGCTGGCAGGCTCTGCAGGTAATCCTTCATCATCTCCTGGATCTTCTCACGGTACAACTCAATCAAACGATTGTGGAAGAGAGGCCCTTTCTCCATGTAGTCGTAGATAATGTACTCCTGTATGTGTAAACGCAATCATTAGAGAAAGCATGACAAATCCACATACACAGGGCCTAACACTTAAAGCTCGGCTCTTACCCAAGGGTATACAGAACAAAAAAACACGCAAACAAGGGAATATTAAAGGAATTTTACAGTTAATCCTCGATTATCTATGAGCATATCATCCTAATTGTAGGTTAACCATGCTTGCACAAAACTGAATATAAATAGATGGGGAATTCTCATTATCTTGTTCCTGTTTAAGTGCAGTCTTTGGTAACCAAGATAAGAAAATATACCTGGCACACTTGACATCTGTTTTACCACACATGGCTCAAACCTGGATTCAAACCCACTATCTCAGTGATTTGTGCCATACAAAGTCTGCCACTGTATGTCGATCTCTTTAGCCTGCCTGCTGCCCGTCTGTCATCACTGCATCCACTGTGTTCAAACGTGCCACGCCAGGATGTATCAGCAGAGTTATGGTGGACGACCCTATGACCCGCCGGCCTGGGTTTGATCTTCGGTGCCATAACGGTGTGCCCTGCGCAACAGGTTCTGAACCGGCCGAGGATTCTTGCATGAAGCAAGCCTGCACAGGTGTGGGGCTCCATGACAACTCAGAACTGTATCCTCCTGTAGTACAAGAAAATGATGCACATCGTTGAAGACGGTGTCCACTAAGCTGAGCGGCGGTCCAAGGACATAGCCTTCTGAAAATTATGAAGTTTCTGCCTGGTTTATCACATAGCACGCGCTAAACAAATGACATAAATCTCAGTGACGTCCAGCCAGTCCTCTGACATGGCATTCAACAACCAGGCCATCTTTATAGTAATATTCACCGGTGAGTGCGTGTGTGTTATATGCACGTGTGCTCACGAGATACGGTATGGCGAGGTCCTTTGAGTTTGACTCCAGAAACTGCAAAACTTCATTTCTTGGTTGCCCTTCAACCTCTGGCAGGTCCTCCGTGAAAATCTTAAGAGAAACCAGAGGTGATGTCACCAGCAGCAATCAATCCATGAAATAACCATGCAGTCTTGGCAGAATTTGGTTGATAAAATCATCAAGAAATAAATTAAAAGAGAAAAGGGTACGTTCCATCACCAATAACATAAAATACAATTGAGGTTTCACAAGTCATGCCCTGGTGATGCAGGCTCAGAAAGGCAAAATTAGTCCAGTGTTTGCCTACTTTAATGCTGCTTGAAAACACTGCTCATTTTGGCCGAAAGAGAACATTTTAAATGGATTCATTATTAATGAAACAAAGCCTTGTCTGATAATTGAAAATTGGTTTTTTACCCTTCTATCTGGCAACAAAACTGACACCTTTTTTACAAGGAGTCATGTTTGCATAGACCACAATACCTGCAGCCATAATGCAAATAAAAAACATAACTCTGATAATGTATGCACTGTCCTTGAAGTTGATTGGTCCACACCCGAGACAGCTTTCCTTCAAGCCTAGTCTCACATGGGTTGGACCAGATGACGCCAAAAGGCGCACAACTCAAAGACAATGCACCATCAGAGTATGAGAGCTCGAGGTAAGCATTTACACCATTGGAACCTCATTTGCCAGTAAAAAATAATAATTGATTTTTTACCCTTCTATCTGGCAACAAAACTGACACTTTTTTTTACAAGGAGTTTTTTGTTTGCATTATGTCTGCAGGTATTGTGGTCTATGCAAACATGACTCCTTGTAAAAAAAAGGTGTCAGTTTTGTTGCCAGATAGAAGGGTAAAAAAACAATTATCATATTTTTTACTGGCAAATGAGGTTCCAATGGTGTAAAGCCTTGTCTCTTCATTGATTATTTTTTGGTCATCGAGCTAATGTTGGCCTCAGGCCTCTTAGGCAACGGTCTCGCCATGAACACAGCACAATGGAGATGTCCACGTGGTGTGGGCTGAGTGTGATCAGCATCCTCAGTGGCTTGTGCTGCATAACTACAATGCTGGCAGCACTTCAGTGCTAAAAATGCGGTTAGATCTTACAGGCAATTCACAGTGTTGTTGATAACTATTACGATCCTTTATTTACCAGATAAGACCCACAGAGCTAAAAATCTCTTTTCAGAAGAGACCTTGCCACCAATGACAGCTCAACGAAGTAGCTTATCATTTCTAAATTTAAAAAGGCAAATACTCTAAACACATGTTTGTAAATGTAGAGGGAAAAACCTGAAGACCGGGAGAAAAATCCACATGACCTTGGGGAGAATGTGCAAACTCCGAATATACAGGCATCAGGGTCAGGATCGAACCCACGATGTCATGTATACAAAGCGAGGTAGTTAACATTTTGCCACCGTGGCGCCCATAACAAATTGAGATGTCGGATTTTGGTCATTCTAAAAGACGTACACACATTGACACAACAAAAGACAGATTGAATAGTGAAGTAACAAAAACAACGTCGCTGTAATATCAAAATTATATTGTAATCATGTCTCTTTTACCTTTAATCCATCCTCAGGGTTGACTTTCATGACCCAGACCGAGAACTCAAATATAAGCTTCATGTTTTCTTTTCCTAAAGCAAAAAAACATATAGAGTAAACTTACATTGCAAATGATTCATACATTTCACAAAGTCAATAGTTTAACGCTGGGTGGCTAGACGAGGTGATAAAACTGACTGGAAGATGTACAGACCCAATTAGCCACCAATGGTTGCACACGTGATTTGTAAATTGGAAAGAGAATAATGGAAAAGTTTGAAGCCGAGTTTAGAAAAGGCTTTTTATACCATCGACGAAATTCGATCAGATTCTGGAAAGACTAATAAATATCAAATTCCATCGCAAACGATGGAAATTCACTTGAGTCAGTGGAAATTGATCTGGTAATACAAACTCAAAGCAACCAAATTAAGTCTTATGTAGGCTTTTCTTGTCAGATAGTTTGATGTGTGTAGATACGAAATGGATTGATGCATTGCAAGACCGAGAGATGGCAATGGATTTGGGAAGCCTTCATCCAGCAGTGGATGATGATGAAGATGAAATAGTCAAAATGTTTCCACTTATTATTCAGGAGATAGGCACGTGAAGAAAAGTTGCTATAACCCAGGAAGTTATTCAACACAGGTTTACATAGGTACTATTGTATGTCCTTTTGTGTATGAGCATGCAGGTATAAGCGTTGCATTTTCATGCATTACGATTCGATCCCAGTGACGTATGGTGGCTGGGTCTCTCCCATGCTGGCAACAACCATAAGCGAGTGCCTAGTGCAGTGTGTCAAAACATCAGCACTGGGAAGAGAAAAGTGGCTAGGCATGATCCTGGCCGCAGTACTTCCTTGTGTGCAGTGTTCACTTTAGCAGGTGTTCACGAACAGTGCTTACTCCGTATAGAATGAGAATCTTTATTTATACTGGAGGATTCTGATACGCTACAAAGCTCTTTTTCACAGATGTCCAGTAGGCGCGGGTCAAAGTTACAACAAAACCAAAATATGACAGGAGTGCAAAGTAGAGGGGATGTAAGCAAATCACTAATATAGATCTATGTTAATTTTACCAGGTAAAGCCCACTGAGCTAATTCTAGATTTGAAGCTTTCGTGACTGCAAGGATTCATATTCTTAGGTTTTTTCGGTAAAGTCACGTAGGTAAAACATTAAAATTAATAAAAGTAAAATAAAAGAAAAATAAAAATCACGACGTTTCGGAGGCAACACAAGTAAATAATTTACTTGATACAGCTGTCGTGGCTGTGACGGTTCCACGTGAAGACGGAAGCTTGTGTTGCCTCCGAAACGTCGTGATTTTTATTTTACTTTTATTAATTTTAATGTTTTACCTACGTGACTTTACCGAAAAAAACCTAAGAATATGAACCCACTGAACTATTAGCTTCCTTTTCAGAAGTGACCTGATCACAAATGATAGGTCAATGAAGTCTATAGGGCTACAGCAAGAGCTTGTGTAGAAAATTGCAGTGTTATCGGGTTCAATGTTAGTGCTTTCAGTGGGACTTACCTAACCTCTGCAGGTACTGCACTGTGCGTTCATGCCCCTTGAGAGGAGAGTTGGCCTTCTGGGACTGCTGAAGAAGCACATTGAGTGCTGTTACAAAAAAAAAAACACATGTTCACATGACAATCAGAAAATTTACATATTACCACTCAATTCCGCTGCATGCTAATTTGTATTACAGCTGTTAACCCTTTATACACTTTGCTATACTCAGAGGTAATGCACATAGGCACATTCCAGTATCGATGCAGTTTTATCACACAAAGCCATGGATGAATGTTTAAGTTCACTGCATTACAAGTGGAGGTTATTGTTAACATTAGAACAAGTTAAACGTAAACCCAGAGGGGAAATACTACATGTGCTTTTGTCACTTCGAGCCGCCAACATAAATTAACTAGAATAAGACCAAGTCATAATATAACCCTATGTGTGGGCTTGATTCCCATGGGCAGATAACAAATTTTCATAACCAGGTTCACAAAAGCCCATTGAGGCTACAAGTCTCCCAGGTTACAAAGGCAAATACTAAAAACCAGGCACCACAAACAGCACAGTTGCAATACACTCGAATGTCACAATTCAGCCGTGTGTGGAAAATATGTTAAAAGATCAATAATATAAACACTATAACAACCAATCGAGGTAGAAGGCATTTATATTCACAGGGACGTCAACATTAGCGACGTTTTCTTGGTTCTTTCGGTAAAGTCACGTAGAAGGGAAATAATAAAATAATAAAAATAAAACATAATAAAATAATTCTCACGATGTTTCGGCCACAACGCAAGCAGCCGTCCTCAGGTGAAGACCAGGTCTGTCTCCAAGCGTGGTGGTGTTTCATTCAGACGCTGTCTCCCCGACAGACCTGGTCTTCACCTGAGGACGGCTGCTTGCGTTGTGGCCGAAACGTCGTGAAAATTATTTTATTATGTAATTTTTTTATTATTTTATTATTTCCCTTCTACGTGACTTTACCGAAAGAACCAAGAAGATGAATCCCTGCAGTCACGAAAAGCTTTAAATGGAAAATTAGCGACGTTGCCCATGGACGACGGAGGCCATCTCGGAGCAGGGCAGCACACGCGGCTACCTTTCTCGTGCATGCCCTTGCGCTCGTAGAGGATGATGAGCTCGCTGTACTTCTGCGCCTTCTTCAGCACTCTTTCACTCTCCTCCACGTGGCAGTTATTGTTCTCCAGCCTCAGCAGGGGAGCGACGAGCGCCACGTTGGTCTGGTCGCGGCACGGACACAACGAGGACACGCGCATTCCTTTATTGGTGAACACCCCTGGTCCTCTCAACGCACCCGTGTTATTTTTGTTAATGCTTTTCAACAATGGTTGACTACCCTTCTTGGTTCTTTCGGTAAAGTCACGTAGAAGGGAAGTAATAAAATAATAAAAATAAAACATAATAAAACAATTCTCACGACGTTTCGGCCACAACGCAAGCAGCCGTCCTCAGGTGAAAACCAGGTCTTCAGGACGGCTGCTTGCATTGTGGCCGAAACGTCGTGAGAATTGTTTCATTATGTTTTATTTTTATTATTTTATTACTTCCCTTCTACGTGACTTTACCGAAAGAACCAAGAAGATGAATCCCTGCAGTCACGAAAGCTTTAAATCGAAAAATGGTTGACTACGTTCATGCATTAGCTCTCCGTCTGTAATGGGAAGGGGGGCGGACACCTGAGAATTGTGTCGTCATTCCCCTATTGATCAAAAGGTTGCTCAAAACTTGAGACACAAACCAGAGCAAAAAGCAGTATTTACAAATGCATTTTACCGCGACAGCTACATATCGGCTTGCATGCTGCAAATTAAATACCTCCAAAAACAATGTGATGGAAACACTTCACACAATTCTTCAAAAGCTGCACCTGCAAGTAGCACTTGAGCAGAGTCGTGTCGATGATCTGCAGCAGCTTCTTCCTGGACTTTATAGTCTGGACGCCGTTCATGATCGGGGCAACGACTCCTCCATCTGCATCGTTCAAGTGTTTCACCAGGTGGTTTCGTTTCTGTGCAGCGAGATGGGATTGTAGTGAGAAGCAGGCTGCAACGTACGTATTGTACTATATGAATAACCCAACCGGCAATGGATACCCATTGTCATTTATATGTATTCATTAATTCCCCCCCCCCCTTCACACAAGAAGGGCTCACAAATCACATCATCACATCTATCCCTCTATTTAAGGAACGAAACAGGAGGATTTCTCCACAAATCTGTCTGTCGCCTGATGAAGCTAGTTGTAATTATTGGCGAAACGTCGTACTTGGATTGTAAATGTTGTGGATTTGCTCTCAAACACACCGGTGTGCTGTACTAGTAACGAATTGGCATGTTCTGTTTACGTGACAAACCTTACTAATTGGCTGTTTTGGGTGTTGGCGGGTTTAACGACAGATTTATATTTATGCGATCTCACCCAAAAAAACCTGTATTATGGATACATATAGTAAGTGTCAAATCGGTCAATGAAGACAAGCACTTCAAAGATGTTTATTTTGGTTGGCCGGGTGGCTCAGATGTCAGGGCAATGGAGCTGGCACCAATTGATGTCCTAGGTTTGAATGGAGGCAGCTTCCTGTGGTTAAAGGTGGTTCTCAAGTGTAGTGAGTCGAAGGCTTCAAATAGCTGCACAAAAATAAACCCCATCACAATACATTTGATTTTTGCACTTGAGCTGCATTTCATTATCGGCTTGATTGTCATGCGACAAAACACTCTCAAAGCATAGTGTGGAAAAGTGTGCACGCTTACTGGGTGCAAGGTCAAGGATTTTTTACAATAAATCCTGTGAAAAATATCTTCAACTGCACTGCGAAATTTCTGAATGGATTATTTGTTCAGTGGTATGGTGCTGAGAGCAATGTTGGAATACATTTGTGCAGAAAAAGGACCAAAATACATTAGTGTGCCACTAAATAAGCATGTGGAAAGGTGACGCTTTAGTTTCCTGGGATTAGCCTCCTATCTATTTGTTACCGGGGTGTACAAGTCCAACAGCTGAGAAAATCTTTAGAATCTGTTCATATTTAAAGGTTGCTCAGAATCCACTCCTCATGTTCCCTATTTCTCTACCATCTTGATTGCCCTCTCATCTGTAAAGTCAGTCTTGTATGCACCGTGTTGTTTTGTACTGCCTGTTTTGCTCATTCTGATCTTCAGGAAAATATTAAAAGTTGCATAGAATTAACAGGAATCAATTCAAATAAAATTATTCTGTTCATGATACGTTCATCACATCGTGCACGAGAATCAATTATTAACATATTATGCAAGCTATTACACCTCCGATTAGCACGCTTGGCTACGTACGGTGCGAAATAAGTTTAATATACATAGATACAAACAATCTTGTACAAAAATGGAAAAAAAGAATAAAACCGAACCAAAAAAAAATCGATTCTCAAATTGCAACGTGACTGAATCACTCCACGCTTCATGCCCACTGTGTGCCCCCCACCTGTGTGAGGTAATCGATGAGAGCCATAACGCCCTTCTCCAGCTCCACCCCTGACAGCTGTGGAGGTTCCGAGGGGTAAAGCAGCTGCTTCTTGTAGTCAGCCGGAAGTAGATCTGGGTACAGCCCGATCACGTGTGAAGGATCTTGGTGGATGGGCGGGGAAGGGGAGAGTGGGGAGGCACAACATGGAGGCATTTTCACCCACCATCATAAATACATGTCGCCCTTAATCATCTGTGAAACAGTGGGATTCCTTAGTTTGCATCCGGACTTGGCTACGGCACGAGTGTAAAAATTAAATAATCTTCCACAGTCACTTGCGGTGCGCACTGCAACAAAGTGGAACAACAACATGAACTCGTGTCCACTATGAGCCTCCGAGTCTCTCTGTGTGAATCCATAGGTCTCTGTGTGAACTCGCGTATATCAATATTTGTAATCGCACGTATGGCGATATTGCCCATGTTCCTACAAAAAAGCCACTTTTTTATCTGAACATGTTTCGCAGCAAAATACACTTGGCTACATCATCAAATATCAATCGTGACATCAGATCGGGATGCCGACAGTGACATTCAGAACAGCGCACACGTCACACCATGCACACATCTCAAGTGAAAAAAAAAATCATCCTAGTTTCTGGAAACAAAAATTCAAGCCTGTTCTAAATGAAGAGGAAGTCTAATAAGAGGACGACCGTCCTCACAGATTAACGCTCACCTGTTCCCAGGGTAGAGAACTTGGCCATGGAGTCGTCAAACTGGTGCTGGCAGAAGAGGTGGAAGGCGTGCAGGTTCTGAATGTGGTGGATTCTTTGCTGCTTCTCTGAGTCAGAGTCATTGGTCATTTGCTGCAAGGTCAGTGGGAGAGAGCGGGGTCAGTGTTTTAAGTGTTTCATTCATCGACTCATTTTATAATACTCAAAATTAAAGTCCAATGGTCTCAATGCTCGAATGCGCATTGATCACCACTGAACTCTGATAATAGCCCGGAGCAACTAATGAAAAATCATCTGACATTTCTATGACACGGTAACAATGGTTAACGCTTTTCAAAAAATGTCACGAACTTAAGACTTTATCCGTCCATACATAAGCGGTGAGCATTATGATTCTCGTACACATGATCCAATATGAATTAAACTGCAATGTGAAGTTGTGCTGCTATTAGAGAATCGTCCTACTGAATACAGTCCAAATTGATCAAAATGTTTGCCAAGACTTGGAGACACAAACCAGATTAAAAATAACTATTTGAAAAAAAAACGCAATTTGCGTTCGTAACCTGTGTCCAAGCTTGTATGTGTCCATCAATCGACTGGAAAAAACATTTGGTGTGCAGCTGATTCACTTATGGCATGCAGCCTGTCGCCATCGATTAGAAACGTAAAGCTTCATTTTCTGGCGTTTTAATAAACTGTTGCACTTTATGGTTGTGATTTAATCCAAAAACTTATATTTATGTGAACACACTTGTGAATGTAACAGCTATCACAGGAAGCAAGGGTCATGTGAACCCATTGTCGAAAAATCATCTGACATTTCTATGACACGGTAACAATGGTTAACGCTTTTCAAAAAATGTCACGAACTTAAGACTTTATCCGTCCGTACATAAGCGGTGAGCATTATGATTCTCGTACACATGATCCAATATGAATTAAACTGCAATGTGAAGTTGTGCTGCTATTAGAGAATCGTCCTACTGAATACAGTCCAAATTGATCAAAATGTTTGCCAAGACTTGGAGACACAAACCAGATTAAAAATAACTATTTGAAAAAAAACGAAATTTGCGTTCGTAACCTGTGTCCAAGCTTGTATGTGTCCATCAATCGACTGGAAAAAACATTTGGTGTGCAGCTGATTCACTTATGGCATGCAGCCTGTCGCCATCGATTAGAAACGTAAAGCTTCATTTTCTGGCGTTTTAATAAACTGTTGCACTTTATGGTTGTGATTTAATCCAAAAACTTATATTTATGTGAACACACTTGTGAATGTAACAGCTATCACAGGAAGCAAGGGTCATGTGAACCCATTGTCGTAAACTATAATAAATACTTGGCCCTTTGCTAATTCACTGCTGGATGAAGGCCTCCTCATGCGATGTCAGTCTTATGGGACTTATTTGACCATACTTCACAATGCTGGACATGTGCCGATTGGCAACTGGTTAAGATGCCACTACGAATGTTAGTAATGGCCGGAAATCACACACCGGGCTCATTCTGTAGTACACCATCCACCGTGCCACCGCTCTGTCCTTCATTATAATACAACTGCATTATGTTAAATGGTCTCAAGCCATACCGCCCTGGACAATGGATTTACTGCCAAAGAGGTTGCGTTTTGAAGAGATTTTGGCCAGAGTTGTGCGAACCAATGCGGAGTCACTCCCCACTTAACTTTCCGGAATCAGAAAAACTTTTGATTCTCACACATGCAAATCAATAGTTTAAGAGCTGGCACGTCATCGTAACATCTCTAATGCACATGGTACGAGCGCGCCATCTCACCGCCAACTGCAGCGCCAGGTCAAACTGCTTCTCCTTCAGCAGCTGCTCGATCTGCGTTGCGATGGGCACGGGCGCCAGGCGCCAAACGAAGTGGCTGCTTGCCACGTACACAATGTTGGGCCTGGAATATCCACGCACACATGGAGGAGAGATGACTTGACTGCCATTAATCTGGTTTTCACCAGAACAGAAATTGGTAGGCTCCGAATAAGACTGGGTAGTTCAAGGAGCTTAGAAAAGCTAAGCCAGCACCTCTGAAAATATGGGCACATGTATACAAACAACCTAAAGTAAGTACATACGGATGACCTATCCACTGCTAGATGAAGGAATCCCGAAGTTTATGCCATGCCCTCTCTCAGCATCTCATGATATAACAATCTATTTTGCGCCTGTACAGGAGCCGATATCATCGCTCTTCATCCTGTGTTGGACTTCCTCTCAGGTGAGCTCCCACCTTTGGCTGCCAAGCAGCCATAAATGTCGACCATCAGCTACCATGCGTTCTTGCAACATGTTCTGCACAAGCCTTTCTTGAGCGGTTCTGAATAACAGTATTCGAAACCACTCAAGGTGATGCTCTTGCACTCTTAAGTTCTGTGGTATCAGCATGGACACACACAAAAATTGCACAAAAGTGCCTTTGCATTTCATATGCTCATAACCATCTATGAAGAAAGGTAAATAAATAAGGAATAAATATGAAGTAGCAAAAAATATAATTAAAATTAATAAAAGTAAAATAGAAAATCACGACGTTTCGGAGGCAACACAAGCTTCCGTCTTCAGGTGGAACCATCACAGCACGATTGCTGTGTCAAGTAAAGAGAAATTCCAAGAGACCCGACCTTGTATATATACTGGTTGAGGGGGGGAGGAGCCAGGGTAGGCCCCTGGATCGGAGTTTTTTTTATTATAGTAAGGTTGGTGCAGCTGAGGCTCGGAATGAGCCTTTGTTATGTAGACTGGTTAAGCTGGGAGGTGCCAGAGTTGTTAAGGTGCGGCTGCTGCTAATGGCACTGAGCCTATGTTATGTAGATGGTAGAAGCAGAAAAGCAGGTCAGGAAGAAACAGCCCCTTGCTATGTTGCTGGGTGGGTAAAACTTAAAGCAGGAAACCAGTGTGTGAAAAAAGAAGCTAAACATGATAAAAACAAAACTGGTTGTCTATCAGTAAACTGCACGGTAACTAAAGAATAGTGCCTGTCAAATAAGATGGTCCAAATATGTGTAGTTAAATCTTTTTTGCATGGTTAATAACATCTTTCCAATGATTACTCGGTTTGTACCCATCATCACGGTTGAAATTATATCTGTGTTTGTAGATGTTTGTATATTCCTAGCAGCAGCCTCAGCCGCACCAACCTTACCATAATAAAAAACTCCGATCCAGGGGCCTACCCTGGCTCCTCCCCCCCTCAACCAGTATATATACAAGGTCGGGTCTCTTGGAATTTCTCTTTACTTGACACAGCAATCGTGCTGTGATGGTTCCACCTGAAGACGGAAGCTTGTGTTGCCTCCGAAACGTCGTGATTTCTTATTTTACTTTGATTCATTTTTATTTTATTTTTTTACCTACGTGACTTTACCGAAAAAACCTTAGAGTATGAATCCTTGCAGTCACGAAAGCTTCAAATCTAGAATGAAGTAGCAACATATATAATGCAATAGCACTGTCAAGAGGTAGGCACAATGATCCAATTTAGAAATAGAAAAGTCACTTAAAATAACCTTTTCAATGCTGTCCATAATGTGCATTTTTTTTATCCAGAAAAGCCTCCGACTCAAGACTTTTTCACAAGGGTCCACACTGGGATGTTTGACCACTTCCAATACAGTAATGAGCACTTGAATTTTGAGAGAAAACCCGAGAACATAGCCAAAACCAAAGAACACAGACAAAACCAGAGAATACAAGACAAAACCAGAGGATACAAGACAAAACCCACCACACATACAACCCCCTATTTCCCATTGGCCCTGTACTTTACCAAGTACCCATTGCTGTTCCGTAATCTACTGGTGACCTTGTTCGCCGTTAACAGGAAGTGGATTTGCTGCCTGACAGTACACAGGGGTTCCAAATTAAGAGAACAGAATTTAAACTCAATAGGCGATACAAAAACAAATCCAAGAAAAGTACGAAAATGCCAGAAGATCTACGTGACACAATACATACGCGCACGCAAAACCAAGTGAGTGGCCGGCAGAGATTTAAGCACCACACACACAGGGATATAGGTGGCACATGAGTGTCGATGAAAGTGGTGGGCCTACCCTCCAGCGGCGATGAATCGAGGCTTCTGCAGCTCAATGCTCTGCACGAGTAGCATGGGCTCGAATGTCCGCAACTCCAGGTAGCGCGGCAGCACTGCGATGATGTAGGGCGGCTGGTGCTCTGCCACGGCGCCCAAGTGGACAGCAATCAATATTAGAACTCACGGCTTGTCAATAGATCTTACGTATTATCAGAGCGCTAAGTTGGCAATGCTGAGAACCTGGGTTAGAATTCGGTAAAGATGATGATCGAACTTATGGTCAAGCACGTCATTATGGCACTCTACTGAAAATCAGCGGTGTGATCTCACTGCAATGTTTTGTGCTGCAGGACTGACTCCTACCCATGGCGATGGGGACGTCAGTCCAGCGCAGCGCGTGCTTCTGAGTCGTGCCCTCCTCATCGATGAAGATGGTCATGTCGTCGCGCCCCACCGCCAGCTTGCGGTCGGCCAGAGGAACGACCAGTGGCTCCAGCTGTTTCCCCGTTGGGAAGAGCTCCTTGTACGAGCCGCGCCCATCCACCTGCAACCCGTGCACAGTCAGAGGAACCCCCATTCTGGATGTGTACTAAAGATAATAACATAGCTTTATTTTGAAGACAGGAGAGTGATGGATGGGAAATTTTTTTTAATATTAAGTGGCACTGACTGCCTATTATTGTATGTACATTACACGAGGTGCCAAAAAAGAGTGAAGTACAGGCGGTTCACAACGATCCAAATTTAGGACATTGATATAATGCTTGATTAACGATGCATCGTCCGATATGACTCCAAACATCTGAACAGTCAGTCTGGTTTCCAACGTGACTTGGAGTGAAGATTTAGTCATTCTCAAGTGTTTTTGTGGATATTTACCTAATAAACCCCGTTAAATATGGCTGATGAAAGAAAAAAAATACATCGACAAATGATGTTTCTACTGCTTTTACCGTGAATGGGAATAGGGTCCGATTTACGACGGGGTTTCCAGGAACACATGTATCGTGAAAGCGGGGACACGCCTGTACTTAAAATTAAACAAGCAGTCCACGTACTTGAATGAAAACTCCAGCTCAAATCTAGTGTTTAAAATAAGTACGTGTAACACAGCACCTCTAAGAACACAAAAGTAATACACCCAAACAATTGAATACAGTTTACAAAATGGTACAGCACGGCATGCATTGCACCGTTAGCATAGATATGTACAGAGTAACAAATGGGCAGAACACAACAACAATATGCCTAAATTTCGATTTAAAGCTTTCGTGACTGCAGGGATTCATCTTCTTGGTTCTTTCGGTAAAGTCACGTAGAAGGGAAATAATAAAAATAAAACATAATAAAATACAATTCTACGACGTTTCGACCACAACGCAAGCAGCCATCCTCATGTGAACAATATGCCTGCGCACACCCAAGCCAGCCACTGCGCACGTCCCCACCACTCTGGAGTCCATTTTTATTTTCCTCGTTTGTGTTGTCTGTCTCGTTTGTTTTGTCTCGTTCATACCATTAGTCTAAAGGTAAGACTTACATGTTAATGTCATATCCAGGCTTTCATGTACAATATGATATGTGTATCATGAGTGTGCATGTCAACCCACCCACTACTCCCTGTGCCGTACGGGTTGTGGCTGTTATACGATCACATTTCAATGTGCTGTTTCATTTTGGGCTGTTGACGACGGGCAGCATAGATATGGAAGCTTAGTAGAGTACAACAATAGATTGTGCTGCAATGCCACGCAGCTCAGCAGCTGCCTATTACAACCTGCTGTGCATGGTGGTCACTCATTCAAGCACAATCCAAGTCTCAACCCTTTTTAGCATCCGAGATCGTACAATATCGGTCTCATTCCAAGCGATTGGGTCAAACTCTGTAATGACAGTGAGAATTGTTTTTCATTTTATGGGCCATTTAAATGTCACACAGCGAGGGCAATGCACACCTTGACAATGTAATAGTCCCTCTTGAATCCCACGCAGATGGAGTCCACGCACCAGGCCATGGACTTGGGGAAGTCTGGCAGGCTGAGATCGGGCTGAAAAAAGAGATGAAAGAGGAGATTTAAAAAAATAATCCACACGGAAATGTTCACGTGCAATTTCCTAGCTGCAGAACGACTGGGCAGACCGAGCATACTTGCTCCATTAGCAAAATGGAGTCCACACACTCTACAAAAAGTAACTATTACTTTTCATAGGCAAATTGTAATATCTTTGTAACAATAAAAAAGATTGTTAAATTCATTTGCGGCATCAAATCAAACATATTCAATCTATATGATGGCTACATTTTAGTAAAGAGTATAAATGCGTGGTCAGGAGTTGATTCAGCCGATCCTTTCTGTGGTATTGATGACACCATTATCGATTTTTGGTTGTCCCTTACTTCAAATGGCCTGTGCCATGGGAATATGGACTTTCTAACAGTGGTTTGGGCCTGCAGCTTAGATGAGCACCACCTCAGTGCTCATTTGATTAGAGACAATTTGACCGACATTTCATATATGTATGTGTATTAATTTTATCTCTCGCTAAGTAGGGTAAGGCCTGTATAGCACTTAAATGAGAGACTGCCACAGTCGTACCAGGTGTTGTAGGATTCATGTGTGGTAGCCAGGATATGACAAGAGTGAAATGGATTCAACAATGCAAATGGCCATCCATCACTGTGCAAGATCATCCATAAAAAAAAGTTTCTTAATATCAGTCTCTTCTGCGGCAGAATCACCTGCAGTTCGATGAAGTCGCGATTTTTCCACGTGAAAAGTTGAAGCTTTTTACGGACGCCCACACACAGGCGCAGCTCCCTCGTTGGCGACTACAGATACAGAGTGTGGTTGGTTTAAACAACATACATGACAGATTAACCACTGCATGGGGACCTTTTGCTGTCACAATCAGCCAGTGTGGGTGTTCCAATTTGTCCTCTCTGGTACGGACAGTTTAAGGCAGATATTTCACTTTTAAAAGGACGAACTGTTAAAAACCCATCACCAGATACATTTTGTGAGTGCAACAGAAGCTGAATATAAGAACACATCAACACATTCTTACATTAAAGGCAAAATGTAAAGTTCTAATACAAGCACCTATGGATATAAGCCCACCTGGACTTGCTCTATTCAGATAAGCAAAGTATAATTCAGCTTAATGGTTACAGTGGAAACTAAAAACAATTTGAGAATATATGTACTTCAATGATCAAACAATGATTGTCAAATCTGTAAATTACGATAAAATCCCATCATGACTGCAGCAGCGACACAGTGATAGTTGGTCACCTTTGCTCAAACAAGTGTTGATGGTGATTGAAGTCAAGAGGACCACAATGCATTTCTTCAGGAAACGATAGCCTTTTTGCATTATGCACACTGGATGGGTGATTTTTACACGTGTTTTGTGAAACCATTACCTGAACATCACAGCTGAACAGTGTCGCCCCTTTAGTTTTGTTGACTGTTGTGATGGTTTGAAATGTTGTGAGGTCATGCACGCAAACCACATTATCTGTAAAAAGTGAAATGGACATGTAATTTACTTAATAAATGCTTCAGCAGAAAGATCCAAGCACTGATATTTCAAAATCAAGTCGACAAAGGAATCAGAGCACAGATACAGAGCATAAACAACTTCAGGAATTTGGTTGATAGAATCGATAGTCTAACCTTGTATTGCTGGAGTGTGGGACAGTCCAGGACTCAATACAGAAATTATTCTGATGTCAACATGGGAATAAGTTGTGATTGCATTCTGCATGGACTCAATTAATTGCGTGGATTTCATGAATAAACATTTACTTGTAAAGTCCAATATAAAAGTATATCTATTTCCACTACAACTATTATACAGTATTCCACGTAAAAAAATGCATGGAGTTAAACTGACATTCAATTTATTCACTTCACTAAACATAAATTAGATGTCATTAATGGGAGTAATTGTAACCAAAAAAGTGTTTAAGTTTAGTCATAAATTTAGCAGCTCGAATATGTGCTCGCATTCATAATATATACATTAATGCATATATGTGGAAATAAATCATTTTCATGAATGAAAATATACCAAATAGACTGTTGGTCAAAAAAAGAGAAAGTAAAGAGGAGAATCAGATGAACAGCAAACAAGACTCGAGATGCGATCGCACAAAGAAGGCTAAACATGATCCTGAACTGTGGCAATTCACTAAACTGCAGAGTTGGTGGGAGGGGGTGAATCATTATATGACCCACATGGTAGTCTTGATAAATAAAATTGAAGTACTCTATAATAAAGATACATATTTTAAATCCCACTCTTAACTTGGCACATTGATCTGATTTAAATGGCATTAACTCAAATCCTGGCACCCGTGAAAGTCAACTCACCGGAGAGGCTGATGAGAATTTTCAACTGTGCCACCACCCAGAGCTGAAGAGGAAAAAAAGTGTTATAAAAGTAATAACCGCTAGATTCATTATTAATAACAGGATTTTAATTAAAGGCTTGCAGCAGAGCTTAATCTGTAAACTCAACATAATACAGAGCCATAATACCTGCTGGATTTTCTTGGCAAAGTTCTTACTCGACTTTTCCAGCGTGACTTCAAATCGGGAACTTCCTATTTCCGTAAAAAACAAAGTGGTTAGCGTTGGAGTTCCTGTAATGCATTTTAATGTCTGGCAGTGAAGATAAAGGAGCTATGACTAGAACACATCTGCTCAGTGTCAAGTGACTTAGCACATCAACCTTCTTACAGAGTAAGTATAAGGGAGCTAAAATTCCAATTGGAGGTGGACGTAAGCCTGTGTGAGCTGACTGTACAAATAGAACCAGGCTGATATCTAATCAGTACCATGTTACCTTTCACAGACTAAGACATTTATGTATGAAGATATATTTAAAAAGACCTCCTATTGTGCAGAATATGAGCAGTCCTATTATATACATATAGGTTATAGGCTTTATTGATGTGTTCGCCATTTAGAAGGCACCTTTGGGTGACAAGACAGATTGGAATGTATACCTACTTAAAAGTCAATATTACATGCAGTGTGCTTGAACTGTTTCTTAATTGCCCAATTATTAGCAGCTCTGTCCAGAAGATAAGTGAGTGGCTTGCTGTGTGATACATACTGTGGCTTGCTGGATAATTTAAGCAATACGAAGCTGTCGCATGGAGCACTAAAACACATCATGAAGATACCTTGAAAAAGAATGTCAGAAAATGACCTCTATGCGAGATATACTATTATGCCAGCAGGTTTAACAATTCCCAATTTGCTCATGCAAATTCACGGGTGAAATATTACTTATATACATCTATACTCGATCCCCAAATACAAATAGATTTCACAATACACATTGCATGCATCTAATAAGCGGTACATATGTAACTGTAAATTATGGGAACGTCGAAATTCAGTCTTTTTGGTGAAATGTTGATTTAAAAGAGATTTACGCAGGATAACCTGCCGATTACTTTAAGATATCACCAATGTGGTGCCTAAAGAACACAAAAATGTGACTTTCGACAACTTTTTAAGGAAGTGAAATGTACATACCCGCATCTCCCTTGATCCTGTAGAGAAGCAGATGACCTGGTTTGGTTCCCACTAAAAGCATTTCCTCTGAGGGTAACAACAATTAAAAAGTGGGGAAGAAATGTGACAGTAAATATAAAGCCAAGCGTCAGTGGAACATAACCGAGTTGAGTTGCATCCCATGATTACTTTTAATGATCCACAATTGTTTTTCTCCCAGTGTGCATACACGGGTGTGACCGGTGCTATTGGTTCCAGCTCTATTACATTCATACGTTAGCTACCAAATTCGCACAAAACTGATTCTGAGTGAAACATGGGTTTGCTTGTTCGGCTAACCAAAGTTTGTTGTTGTAACTTTCGGACCCTGCCCTATTGGACATCTGTAAAAGCGAGCTTCCTATAGCCCATCGGATTTCTCGAGGATAAGTAAAGATTCTGATTCTGATAAAGTCAACGTATCTATGTATATAATCACTGTCATACAATAAAAAGGGGGACACCGCATTCGTGGTCGCAGGCCGTGACAGATTTAAGATAATTGTTCCAGCAACAGGACAGCACTGTATTGTCGCACTATATCTGTGAACGCGCAGACGCTTTCTAAGCAGCATGTAGGTCACCATGCATGCCAATAAATAATACTTTTATTTGTGTGTTTTTCATTAATATACTTATTTACATATATACTGCACATTACGTTAAAGTGTATTGATACTCAAACGAGAGGCTGATTAATCTCCATCAGCGGACCGGAGCCAGTGGTGGACATTCCACATTTCTGTGGTGGGAACCAGTATATCCGCAGGATAAACACAGATTATTTCTCACAAGTGCTACTCGTTTTATCGCATGTAAAAGGATCACGCGATTCTTGCTCGCCATTTCCTGTGAGTTGATCAACACCCGGCCAAACAACAGAAAGGGTATAATGAAGTCTAAAAAACTGAATTCGATGCCTGGCATGTACCCCAAGCCGGCACCACTCCCCACGGACATGAACACACACACATACAGCACAGTAGCACACACAGCACAGTATAGCCGCCACAGGCTGTTGGGGGGGCAGGTGCAGTAAACGAGCACCACGCTCGGCCGCCTTTGTCTTCCCATTACCAATGTTTACATACAATCGTCAAGCCCACACACACACTGTATAGTAACACGGGCAGCCACACACACACACGGATAAAAGCATGTCCAACAGCATACATAAATCCCCCCCGTATTGCCTACGAAGACAGCTGAGGCAAGTGCTGTTCGCGAGCACCTATGAGGTCGGCACGGCGCATCGGCCGTGGTGTGGCCATCACAAACCACAGCCGTTCGCAACTTAAGTGGCGGCGACGTCACCCGGGCAATTGTGCCAGACTAGGTGCACCTAACAAATACAGAAATACAGTTTTACTATGCTATTGAGCCCGGACGTATATATATACTTTAAATCTTCCTCCGCCACCGCGACCGCACTAGGCCGCAGACGCGGTCCCCTCATCCTAGGCTCTCGCCTAGAATCCCTGCCGGGAAGGTCTCACCCCAGCAGGCGACGCTCTCGATCTGCAGCGGCAGCTTCTCCAGGATGGGCACTGCCTCGTACGCGTCGTGCATTGTCGGCGCTGTTCATCGGGGCCTACCCCCTCACCCGGGCTGCTATCTATCGATGGACTTATTTACAGCGGCCCGACGTTCTTGCGCCGAATCATTCAAGAGAAACCAATGAAAGGGATCGATCGCTTCGGCCGTGTTTACGCCTCCATCCGCCTCGAGATCACGAGGGCGCGCGTTGGATTTAGTAACTCGCTTAAGCGCGCGGCCGCCCAGCCAACGCCGCTCATTGGCTAGATCCGCGGGGTGGGGGGGGGGGCACGTTGCTTATCCGCAATGGGAAATATAATGTCTATGTCAGCTGTGGCTTGTCGAGGCAGATTGGGTCAGGTTTGAATGATTCTTTTTTGGGTTCAAAGAGCCCAGAATGTTACAAAAAGTTCTGGCTTTCTCGTGTGAAATAATGCGGTTAATACGTTTGACAAATGGTTATAAATTGAAAACTTAATTTTAATTGTAAAACTCATCTTCTAAATTGAAAATTCATTCTAAATTGCAAACGAATTTGTTTAGAACTGCTTTTTGTATTTACATTGTCCTTTATATCCCGCACCTCCGATTAGCAGGGTTGGCCTACGTACGGTGCTAAAAACGTTCAACAATACATGTAAAATGCCTCAATGGTGTGGAAACAAATGGTATGACATTTTTTCATTTTAATCACAAGTATTGTACTGTATTTTAGATTCTTATTTAAAGCTTTCGTGACTGCAGGAATTCATATTCTTGGTTCTTTCGGTAAAGTCACGTAGAAGGGAAACAATAAAATAAAAAATATATTAAACAATATTATAAAATGTAAAACAATATTGTTTAATATTTAAAAAATACAAACAATATAAAACAATATTGTTTTATATTTTTATTATTTTCCTTCTACGTGACTTTACCGAAAGAACCAAGAATATGTATTTTAGATGTATATTTTTATTACCTGTATTTACATCACCTCGTGAACAAGTGCTTGGCGAAGTTTCGCATTGGAGGATCTTGAGTCACGACACCGACTTGGCAAGTGGATTCGTCATGAATGATGATGAAGATTGAACGTTTATTGGAGGATTCCAAGAGACATTAGGGAGTTCCAATTTAAATTAACAATATTTGACAAACGAGTCATTCACAGCCTATCAATTTTGCTCAGTGTAGTATTGTAAATTCGATCACTTGAAGCTGTTTACTTTATGTAAATGCTGGTTAAATTGGAATCTGCAATCGAGAAGAAAGTATTTATTGTATATTTTTTAATGTTTAACAAAAATGGTGAATTGTAATGAGCTGGCATTTGTGTTTGTCAATGTTCTCTGGATTATCAATTGGCCTTTGATCAAATCCCCTCTGAGAGCTCCCGATCTCGTCGGCTCGTGGAAGGTAAGCAGATTTAAAGCTCGTTAGAAGTCAGAAGTGTAATACCCGACTAAAGCCCATTGAGACAATGGAGCCCTTTTAAAAGGGAAACTCAGCGGGTTGACAAATGTTAGTACCGCGAGATGGCCAGGAGAGGGCAGTGCGAAGCGTCAGCCCATTGTACCGTACGGTATGAGAGTGTGGATGCGAAAAATGAGAATACGTTTTACCCTTTCTGGCAATAAAACAGGTGCTAAGATGTTCAAACACCAAATAGATACCTTTTTCAAGGAATCAAGTCTGCACTAACCACACGTACTTGTGGTGAACATTCAAGGAATCTCTGATAATTACAATATATGCATTGTCTTTGAAACTGATTGGCCTACACCAGATATCGTCTTCTTCATGGCCCGAGTCTCACCAGTGTCAGAGTGTGTGTGGATTTTATGTAATTCTAGATTTGAAGCTTTCGTGACTGCAAGGATTCATACTCTTAGGTTTTTTTCGGCAAAGTCACGTAGTAATAAATAAATAAATAATAGAAAGAATAATATAAATAAAAAATTTCCATTATAAAATTATTCTATTATTATTTCTATTATTATTTCTTTTTACCTACGTGACTTTACCGAAAAAAACCTAAGAGTATGATTTTATGTAAGTTCTCAACACGGAGACAAACACTCAACAATGTAAATGGCCAAACATCCCAATGCCCAGGACCCTTCTGAACAAGTCCCAAGACTCAACGAGGCAGGCTTTCCGGGGAAAAGAATTGCCAAAAATTGGCATTACTATACAGTACTTAAAGTTTTTCCTCCAAAACCTTTCCCAACTCATCTTCTTGGTTCTTTCGGTAAAGTCACGTAGAATGGAAATAATAAAATAAAAAAGTAAAACATAATAAAATAATTCTCACGACGCTTCGGCCACAACGCAAGCAGCCGTCCTCAGGTGAAGACCAGGTCTGTCGGGGAGACAGCATCCGAATGAAACAGGACCACGCTTGGAGCGTATATTTAAGCTAGGTTGTGGCCGAAACGTCGTGAGAATTATTTTATTGCTTTATTTTATTATTTCCATTCTACGTGACTTTACCGAAAGAACCAAGAAGATGAATCCCTGCAGTCACGAAAGCTTTAAATCGAAACTTTCCCAACTCCTCAACCTGGATCATTACAGGCACGAACCACCACCATGCATGGTGAATACAGGACAGTGATTTTCATAAGAGTACATTATTTAGAGACCTACGCATTTAATATATTGTCACAATGCACATAAGTATTACAAAACATTGAGTGGTTTCATTTTTGAGTTGTAAAAAAAGTACAAGTACAGTAATGCAACAAATAGAGTAAAGTACAGTTAGTAAAAATGTTTTTCATAATAAAATTCTCGTTAAAACAGTGCTTCATGTTATAGCTCGTTACAACTTGAGGCAGATTGTCACAAGCAATACGAACGAAACGTTTGCAAAAATAAGGTCTCCACTGTTAATTTATCTAGTGTTGCTATTACGTCGTTCATAGATTAATACATTATTGTAATTCTTCAGGGAAGACATGCGACCGATAACATACGCGACTTCAAAATACCACGCGTTCTCTTTTGTAGCGCGCTGAGCAACACCACAATTTCACTCAATAGGTTTAAGCACTGAGCCAGTCCCACGAAAATCCTCGGTTTTAATCAGAGATTGTCACCCGTGATTAAACCGTGTTTCTCAAGTGTCGTGGACTGATAGACTCAGCCCCGTTACCATTGACGGCACAATAAAAAAATATATTCACGTTAAATGTGTTTTCTCAATGTGGCTATATTGTGTTTTCTCAATGTGGCTCAATTCTAATTTTGAAAATTGCGAAAGAACTATTTATTGGCAAGTGTGCCGACTATAATATGTGAACAATAAGGTCACATGAAGGTATTTCATAAGTAGTTCTGTGATGTCTAGCACCTTCCGTGCGTGGGCTGTTCTCTGACATGGTGTTGATGCGCTGCTGTGAGAGTTCAGAATGAACACTTTCTCGAGTAGCACAAGTGGAATAACAGTCGGAAAAATACAAAAAGGTGTATGTGCTTATAGCATTGGCCTCTATAATGAAGACGTTGGCTCGGCGTCACCTTTATCGCAGCAAGTTACAGAGTGTAAACTTATTAAATAAAGTGAATTTGGCTTTATATACAGAAACAAATATGCTCGAAAATAACTGCAATTTATCCGATCCAATAACTGCAACAACAGAGTTGGTATTACTTCACATGGAAATATTGCAAAATTACCTGAACGTTTTCACATTCAATTGCTATGACTATAATTTATTCTCAAGTAGTATGCTTCCAATCTAATAAAAACGACAAACGTTCACGTGCCTTTTATGCACATATAAAACGTAATACAAAATACCTGTTCATATGCATTAATTTCAAGCAGCTATTAAGTTTGTTTCATTGCAGATGAAAGGCCTATTCAGCCTATTCTAGTCCATTTTGCAGTACATACCAATCCTGCAAAGTAGATGCAAATGTAGTTAGAGGCCTCTCTTTCTCCTTTGCTGCCCTCAATCTCTGAAACTCCCTTCCCCCAGCTATCCGTGCTCTTCACTTCCTGTCCCCATCTATGATCAGACTCAAGACCTTTCACTTCTCCTCTGCCTATGACTAACGGTCTCTGTTTTCTTAACAAAATAAGCTTCATAATCAACGTTTTTGGATTTAGATCGCGTTATTTATAAATGTGTCGTAACCCTCCACCACCCGACAATCGGCCCATAGCCTGCACAAATAGGCAAGTACCCTTTTTGATAAAAGTATAAAAAAAAAAACAAGGACACTTCAGGTGATATCATTGAGATTACAGCATGGTATACCAAGCTCCAGTTTTTGAAACACATAAATGTCCGCCTTTCCGTGTTTGCCAATTTTTTCTCTGTTAATATGTTGCCAACATGTTTCTATCTGTGTGTGCAGATGATTTTGTGTAAACATTGGCACTGGAAGACAAAGGCGGCCGAGCGGTGTGCTACCACACAGAGAAAACTGGTAAACGTGGAAATGTGTTAGGTTTTGCGTCGGGAGGGAGTTCTGGTCGGGAGTTGTGGAGTTTCGACAAAAGTCAGGAACCATTTGTGTGTACTGTAAATTATTGGAGACAGTTAAACTGCGCGCACAATGAGATTGGACACACATCTCGATCAGTTTCACAGAGGATGCTTAAACATTCCTCAATGTGTCCACATTGATCTTATCACACTCAGCTCGTAGTCTTAATAAAATAACTATATAGCATAGCTTCATTGCTATGAAGAAGGGCTATTGACATAACATGTTATCCTGTTATGTATTATTTCACTTTTGGAGCAGTATTATTGACGATTCTGTTGAGTTTTTGTTTACTGTGCGGCTGCACCACAGCTGACGAAGTATCATAAATTGTTTATATCTTGATTTGAAGCCTTCGTGACTGCAGGAATCCATACTCTTTGATTATTTCGTGACTTTACCGAACGAATCAAAGAGTATGTTGTTTATATACTATATGGTTCCAAAATCGCTCTGGTTCATGACTGTGTCCATTCAGAATACATTTGGCATAGGCTTAGCCTTCTTGATCAGTTGTATTTGTATGTTGCCGTTCCCAGGATGAACTCGACACTCTGTCCTGCTCACTCCCAATCTGTCCACTCTTCCTGCTCCGCTTCATCCTCTGGCTCCTCCTCCTCCAGGAGACTCAGCATGCTCTGGAGGGTCCCCTTCACCTCTGTTATCTCCTCCTGCAAGCGCTGTGAGGGCACTGTCAAGGAGAATTGCAGTAGCAATCGACAGGATAAAGGTGACCAAGAGACTAGCCATGAGTTTTTGATGACATATCTTTAGATATCATATTTTTGGATTTTTAGGCCCAAATTCGGATTTTCACTCACATTTTTGGGATTCCTATGTACGTATTACATTTTCATAAATGTAATCATGTTAGTAATTATATATATGAAGTATTGATTTTTTATTGTGAGCAAAGGTTCATCAGTAAAAGTTTTAATGGAACCATTTTAATATTTTCATAATCATAATCAGAATCTTTATTTAGAGTGGAGAAATCCAATGAGCTATGAAGCTGGTTTTCACAGATGTTCAGTACGGGCAGGTAAATTATAAAGTTATGTCAAATCCTTAAAGTGACATCATGTAACGACAATTCTCTGTGGGAAAAGCACGGAAAAGACACCATGAAAGTGACGTCACGTTTCATTTCTGTAGTATGTGCATTGAAGCAGCCACGCAAGTAGGATATGAGCCAGCCTCTGATCCCTTGTGTCCAATGCATGCTGCAGTTGCTCCTCCAGGCATAGAAGCCGATTGCTGATGGACTCGCACTGCTCCTGAATGACATCATCGCTTAGCTGCCTTGGGAGGGCATTGGGATGATCGCTGACAACCTCACATGGATTCTGAAAAAAGCAACACAGTAGGTAACTAGAGTACTCGCTGTCATACACATTGCACGATAAGATGACCGAATCCATGCTTTTCAGATAAAATACTATATTTGACATTTTCTCAGGAAAAATGTTGGCAGTAAAAGTTATGCATAATGAGCGATAATAACGTTATATTTTAAGCCATGCAATGAGATGACAAAACACGGCGCGTGATGTGTGGCGTCGCGAGATGAGGTTACGCGTAATGGAGTAATTATGAAGCGAGGCATGCACATGACGTGCGCCATCTCGAGATGAAGTCACATATAATGGTGTGATTAGCAGGGAATGAGGCGGCATGCAAATCCTTTTCGCACCGGTTTTGCATCCAAGTTTTTTGGCACATCTTTGATCAATTTGGCCATTTTTCTTGGGAGTAAGTTTATGATAGCGACACAACTTTGATATTTCGATTTAAAGCTTTCGTGACTGCAGGGATTCATCTTCTTGGTTCTTTCGGTAAAGTCACGTAGAAGGGAAATAATAAAATAATACAAATTTAACATTATCAAATAAATTTTTATTTTATTTTATTATTTCCCTTCTACGTGACTTTACCGAAAGAACCAAGAAGACAACTTTGATACTAAAGTTGAATTCACATTGGATCACATTCACAAGAGTTATCATGCCCCCACCATTCTAGACAGACAGATGGATAGCGCTAACACAATAACACTTTCAAACTAGGGTTGGAAAGCATGAAAAAGGTAAAGATCCATAGTTTAGTCTGATAAACTGCAGGGTGAAAATGGATGATTGCTGTTCACAAGCACCTTTTGATGTCAGCACCTAGGTGAAAAAGAAACACAACCCTGCTCACCACTGGGAGGCCATTTTCTGTGAAGCACAAAGTCTCCTTTGCCATCTCATGGTCGAGCCACACAGACTCAGGCTGGGAGATTTTTTCAGCCGGGACTTCTGTTGCTTCCACTGTCACTTTTGTTCCATCGGCGCCTTCGGCAGTCACGCCACCCTGGCCCAGATCATCTTCCCCGTGGCGATCGATTGCCAGACTCTGCAGGATGACGCTGCAGGCCTGGAGATCAGCCTCCCAGACTCGTGTCACAAATGGGTTCCTGCACCTGGTGCGAGCGTCATGGGTTAGGGTCAGGGGCAGTGGCGTAGGTATTGAGTAACTACTATTTTTATTTTACCAGGTAAGGCCCACTAAGTTATATATCCCTCTTTTTCAGAAGCGACCTGGCTGCAAATTATAACTGAACGAAGTGGCTTACCATGTAAAAATGTACAACAGCCAAACACTCTAAACCCATGTTGATTCTAAATATGGAGGTAAAAACCGGAGGACCCAGAGAAAAATCCACATGATCACGGGGAGAACATGCAAACTCTAAATATACAGGTGTCCGGGTCGGGATGAAACCCACAATCTCCTGTATTGCAGGCGAGGTAGTTAACATCTCGCTACCTTGGTGCAGGCAGTGCAACTGAACCGGGGGCCAAGGCCTGGAGGAACCCAGACACCAGGCTATGAAAACCGGCGCTGCAAGGGCTGAGGGCACCGGCAGTAATGAGTGATGGTGGCAGATTTTTGGGACTTAGGAGGGGTGGCAATGGCATATTCTCCAATCGGGTGGATGTGATTGATAGGTGTGTAAAGAAACCCCCATTGCTGTGCTGTACTGCTATGCTCCCACACCTATGATCCATGCATACTCACCAACATGGTGAAGTATGGCCCAAATACCCCATTGATATATACGGTGCGCAGAGCCCTCATCTGGCAGTGAATTGTCACGTATGTATTAACATAATTTATGACAGAGTTCAGAGATGGCTTTCTATTTTGATAAAATTGAAAATGAAACTGTAGTCTATACGTGTATTTGTGTTCCTGAACTACAATTTTATATGCAGTGAAATAAACTATGACATATAAATTGATGTGATTCAGTCCAGTATATATGTATTGGGTAGGGCAGTGGCGTAGTGGTTAGAATACTACACTATGAACCCAATCAGATGGGTTCGATTCCTTGCCATGGCCAACATCAGTGCTTAGTGATATCTGAACTGATCCCGGGGGCCCTCCTTCAATGACCGGCACTGACCAGCATGGTGACATATAGACAAACAACAAAGGCCAGACAATTATGTCTGTTCATTATAACCAGGTGAGAGAGAGCATGTGATTAGCATCACCTACCTATTCATGAAATCCTGCAGCACTTTAGAATGTGCCATAGCCTGGCCCCTTAGCTTTTGTTCTGTAGAAAAATAAAAGTAAAAATATTAACAAATGATGACATAAAACAAACTTCAAATAGGCTTTGATCATGTCTATTAGCATGTTTGGATACATACGGTGCGAAAGAAGTTCAACATACATACATGTGCATTCAAAAGATTGCCAACGTTTCAATTATAGACATTCAGTAAAAATACATTCCAAAAAGAGTGATAAAGAATATGTAATGACACACAACCTTGATTTACAATTGCTCTTACACCCACCATAACATATTTACTTGAATACATCACCAATGGTGACGTCACTGACATCAACATGATGTTATAGTGGTGCCGTCACCATTGCTGTGATCATAATATCACATTATACACTGATGTCATCTGTGTGGTGTCACACCAACTGATATGGGTAAAAAAAAGACCCATACACGATGTGTGTCACAAAAAAAAACATGATAGGTCATTAAGAAAAGTGGCCTTGGGCAGGACATGCCAGAAGAAAGGATGATGGCTGGTGGTCAAGACTAACCACAGAGGGGCAGCCAAAGGAGGTGACATGACCGATAGGACGTCCACCAAGGAGATACAGCGATGCAATCTCGCTCGTGTGCTGGCGCCAGATATGTTGCTACATCGTAGGAATGTGACAGATGGTAACGGTTTGAAGAGGCCTTCAATCAGCAGTAGGTTTACGATGACTGAAGATGATTATCAAGGAGTGAAACACAGGCAGTCAACATGTATCCAAAGATGATTCAGAATAAACTTCAGCACACCTCTAAATTACTCAACAGGGGTGTATATATATTGTACATGAGAGTACTTACTATTTAGTGTTTATATTCTTAGGTTTTTTCGGTAAAGTCACGTAGGTAAAAAATTATAATTAATTAAAGTAAAATAAAATAAAAATAAAATAAAAATCACGACGTTTCAGAGGCAACACAAGCTTCCGCCTTGAGGTGGATCAAGTAAATGAGAAATTCCAAGAGATACTACCCCGTATATATACTGGTTGAGGGGGGGATGAGCCAGGACAGGCCCCATTTTTTATTTTGTGTTTATGTTTACTCGTCCAGGCATCACTTGCGGTGATTCACGCAATAACCTGAAACATCAGCTTACGTACCGTTGTTATATGGATCGATGTATTGCAAGAACATGAGAGATGGCAACAGATAGGGGGGATGTCTTTATCTAGCAGTTCATGGCTGTTTATGATGATGATGGTGATGCTGGCGATGTCCTGTACTGCGCTGTACCGTGCTGCGCCGTGAGAGTCTCCAGGCCGGCCCGTGCCTCGCGATGCTGCTGCCGAAACCGCTCCAGCTCGTTGTGTGGGGCTCCTCCCGTGGCCCGGGTCCCAGTGGTGCCGCGAGGGCCCTGCAGAGCCTGGAGCCGCCACCTCGCCATGTCCCCTTCCTCTGCCAACCTCCGCCCCTCCTCCACCAGCCGCCTGGCCAATGCAAAGTCCCGCTCTGTGGTGACACAAAATAACAAAATGCAGAGGACGTGAAAGTGAAATATTCTGTAAGTGTATTATTATCATTATGTTTGTTTATGCTTTTCTACTTCGAATAATAATTTCGGTTTTACACGTAGTGCACAAGGTAGGTACCAGCGACGGCTGCTGCTTTGTTTTCCGTGAGTACTCGAAGCTGCGTCTCGGCATCGCTGATTTTCTGTCTGAGAGCGGTGACTTCCAGCTGACATGCGGCAACCTCAAAAGACAAATACATGGAAGAACTAGTTATATTAGACGAGCTGTGGCTCTAGCTAGCACTAAACCACAATTCTTCTTAAGGGCCGTCCAGCCATAATCAAAATATACAAATCAATCCTTTTCTTTTACAAGTTTACTGTACATCTTTGTTAAAAAATGTGCAGTCAATTATTTTTGTTAGGATGAGGTCACTGCCTATTAAGCCTTAAGTCTCTTCAACAAGGAAAACAGGGCTCAATTAAAGTAAAATAAAAAGCGAGACAGTCAAGATATAAACACGCGAACAAATGTTTTGCCTTTAAGTGTACCTTTGTGGATAATTCTTTAACAGACAACGCAGGGGCCTTCTCTTGCTCTCGAAGACTGCAATGAAACGACACGCATAGACGTGAGTTGTTTGAAAAGGACAACCGAGAGAGAAACCTGTATGGGCCTCCATGAACTCGTAAAAAAAAAAAGAGACTCACCGCTCGACTTCTCCCGGGGTGGCTAAGCTGGCGAGCAACCACCTCAGCGAGTCCTCGAGGGTGTCGAGCAAGTCTGGCGTGAGAGGGCTTCCTCGGCCACAGCGATCGTCGGCAGCGGCGACGGCGGCGACGACACCGTTGCGGTCTCTCTCTTCGAGAGCCACACCGACTCGGCGCTCCTCCTCCTCCAGTTCGGACAGGCTTCGTCGAAGCTCCGAGATTCGCTCCTGAATGCGGCAAACGTCGCTGTTAGCGCGTGGACAGCGCCGACGCAATGATATACCTTCGTAATGGCAATTTGAACTCATGGCAGAAAGATAAATTAACAAAAAAATAACAGAGAATTGTGGCTTTCGGACAACTTTGTACCAGTACACGCATTTCAGCGTTATCTAATAAAATAATGTGCAGATAAACCGAGTATTGAGTATAAAAAGGTCCTTGCTGTGGCAGAAGTGACTGAATGCACTGCAATTAAAAACAATGTTGCCATCCATAATACAGTATTTTTTTCGGTTTAGATCGCGTAAAATATAAATGTGTCGTTAAACCCACCACCAAAGCCAATTAGTAAGGTTTGTCACATAAACAGAACATGCCAATTTGTTACTAGTACAGCACACCAGTGTGTTGGAGAACAAAGCCACAACATTTACAATCTGAGTACGACGTTTCGCCAGTAATTACAACTAGCTTCATCAGGCGACAGCCAGATTTGTGGAGAAATCCTGCTGTTTCGTTCCTTAAATAGAGGGGTAGATGTGATGAAAATACTTGTGAGCCCTTTTTGAGCGAATCGGGCAGGGATTAATTATTGCTTTTAAATTACAATGAGTATACATTGCCGGTTGGGTTATTTATATGGTAATCATTGTATATCATGCATGCGCATTATGCAAGCCCATTGTTGCAGTGACAGATGAAAATAGTTTCCAAGCGGTAGGCCTCTTGTGGCCAGTGGCCGATCTGAAATTCAATTCCGTGACCATATCCGCTCCACACGCCATAGGGTACCTGTAACGCTTTCTTTTTCTGCTGAATCTTAAAACATGGGTCCCTCCAAAGTTCCTCTTGACTCCTGTTGGGAATTTCACAAAATGAGCACACATCACAAATCAAATGGCCAAAAATTCTAAAGGAATTAGTCAAACATGCCAACCGGGACTATTGAGAAAATTAGTCTTGAGACTGTGGGGAGATGAGTAATGAATGGGAATTAAAATGTTTGTGCTATGAAACAAAAATGCTATATTTTTCTAATTATGCTTTTTTTACGAGAATTATTTCGGCAATACAGTACTACATGTTCTGGAAATCATTTAATTGGAGCTTTGGAAAACCCATATCTAGAAAACATGGAGAATATTTCTACTGATCGACTTGGAGACTGGTGGCCATTTTAAAACTAAACTATGTTTATGATACCAGGAAAGGCCCGCTGAGCTATATAGCTCTTATTTGAGAAGCGACCTGGCCACAAATGATAACTCAACGAAGTGGATTATCATGTGGACATTGATAGCAGCTAAATACTCTAAACAAACGTTTTTATATGTATAGGGAAAAACCGGAGTACCCAAAGAAATATCTACATGACCATGGGGAGAACATGCAAACTCTACATATACAGGCATGAGGGTCAGGATGGAACCCACGACCGGCACACCAGGCGAGGGGAGTTAACATCTCGGGTGACTGGTGTTGAATTCTGGACTGGAATAGGCACCGAGAACTGGGATTTGGGACTGCAAACCGTACCCTAACCGTACAGGCCCCGCGACGAAGCCACTCACTTGCCGGCAGATACGCAGGATGTGCTGAATACGACGGAACGCAGTGCTGCTGCCAATTCCACATTCCCAGACGGGATTTGGAAACTCAGCAGGGCCAACTGAGCTTGGGTCTCCTCCAGCTGCTTGCTCACCTGCTCCGCTGTGTGGCACAAACGCTCCATACATTATTACCCCATCAATTTACCATACAGCTTATTTTTAAATGTGTTCACTGAAATTGTAGCTCTAATTTAAACATTACTGCTTCAGTTTATTGCTTATTTTATTTAAAATAATACTTCCACAGATGTTTCTATAATCTTGATTTGAAGCTTTCGTGACTGCAGGAATCTATACTCTTTGGTTCTTTGGGTAAAGTCACGTAGTTAGAAAATAAAATAAATCACGACGTTTTGATCGCAACACAAGCGGTCGTCCTCAGTCGTGATTTATTTTATTTTATACCTACGTGACTTTATCGAAAGAACTAAAGAGTATGTTTCTATAATGCTTAACATTTCAAATATGTGATATTCATTTCACTTCTTATCACATTCACAGTGTTGCTTTTGTGATCCAAGTTAAGAAGAATCGCGCATACGCATGGGTTATATAACTGTTTTCAGAGTGGAAGTCAATGGGCAGCTGTAGTTGTTCTGCTCTGGCTTGTGTCTCCAAGATTCCAGCAAATCCTCAAAGTATTTGTCCACCTTTACACTGGGTAAGTCCGAACATAGCAACGCAACTTATACTACAGTTTGGTTCATATTGAATCATCTTTACGAGCGTTATTGTGACCCCCTCTCTAATTCAGGACTTCAGGACTGAGCTAATGCATAAATGCATTCAACCTTAGCTAGGAAATAAATAAAAACATGAACTGGAAATGTGGGAAGTGGTGAGCATCACAGGTTACCTGCTTCAAAGTCGTCCTGTCCAGCAGCCACCATCTGCTGTCGTTTGAGTTCACTCACGCGCATGATCAGCTGGGACGAATGAAACAAACGTCTCTTGATTAAGACGTGAACGAATACGTACAATGCCGACAACATTGCATGGGCACCACGGACAACGGGCCTGCCTCACAGCAACTCGGATGAAATGAAGCGTGGGCGCCAGAGGTCGCGAACGGGTTTTGATTCCTTACCCGTACCCGTACCCGGCCGCACCAGGGTCGCAAACGGGTACCCGTACCCGGTCGGGTACGGGTAGGGTACGGGTATCGGGTACCTGATTGCGACCTCTGGGATGAAGCCATGTTGCAGGCGCGGGTGGGTTGATTCTAGGAACTTGAATTGTGAGAAGAGACAAGACGTTGGGAAATGAGTGACAGTTACTCACCAATGACTCATGGTCTACCCGTACCCGTACCCGGCCGCACCAGGGTCGCAAACAGGTACCCGTACCCGGCCGGGTACCCTGTTGCGACCTCTGGTAGGCGCAGAAAAAGCAACGTCTTATCCGCAAAAGTGCATTTGATGAATTTTGGCATCGGCAGAGGGCATTGTACAACTGTGCAAGATGTTCACGTTTGTGCGATATATCTTGATAATTATATCGCGTCAATAACAAGCAAGACCCGCACCAGCCATCGGCGCTATAGATCTGAGAGAGAAAGTGAGCCGCTCATTTCAGTTCCTGAAGAAGCGCATGGAGCGAATCATTAGGACACAATGCCAAACAATACCCGGTACAAAGCCGAAAACACATCGGAAAGCCAGAGTACATTGTCCACAGCAAAGGGTGGGGAAGCCGTAAATGATACTTATCCATCACTGCAAGCATCTTAGTCACGCTGCTCGAGTACTAGAGAGGAATATTGTCAACGGGTTAACACTGAGTTTTTAATTAGCACACTCGGTAACTTTTGTCACTACAAGGGATCGAAGCCTGTGTTAATGTGTGGCCCGCCAAAGGTATTTGAAAGTCCTATTCGGACCTCAGTAAGGAAAATGTTCTCTAATCTTGGTGTATAGTGTTATACATGATGCTAAGTGCATGTGTAAGGTTAAAAAAGTGCTTGAGTTTAGGCAAGTGCGCTCTGCCATGTGCCTTACAAACTGCATTTTATTCTTTGCCATACACAACACCAGTGGTAATTGACTTCTCTACCTAGCCTTGGCCTTCCCAAGGTCAGCTCAGCCTAAACAATGTTGCACCTTTAGCTGTGTGTCTACATCAACACTCAGGAGGCTAAGGAAACTGTAACGCAGGCCGCAGCGCTGCGTTAAGTGCCGTTCATATTCCGTGACAGTAAAGTTAGAAATGCACTTGCCCCGACAGTTTGTATGACTGAATCGGAAATCTCTGTTCCTTTTAGTGCGTTTGATGTTACAGCCAGACTTTTATGTCGCATAAGCGACTTTTTGGGAACTGAGGTATAGGCAAACATGTGAATAGGACAGATATGGGAATATCTATTTTTAAAAAATGGCAGTTACACCATGCATCAACACTGCACTGGGTGTGGGCAGTTCATTGGTCAGAGCAGATATGTGATTACTGGATATGCGATGTTGCACATGTATATTGATTTCAAAACAACGTGATATCTTAAGAATCCAGTATGATCTAGTGCTCCCAGTACAAACCAGGTTAATTTAATTCAGCCCCCAAGAAGCATATAATGAAAAAATGATAAACAGTCGTAATCTATCACGCATGATTGCACATTACACGTTTGAAATCGCCAGTTTAAAATTACTGCCATCTCAAAACACATCAACCCCTTTGTCTAAACTGTTACATGCCCCAGCGCACTCATCATAGGCCATCGGGTACCCAAAGACAACACGCTGCATAATTTATCACCATCGACGAATTTTGGGCGAGCGCCTTCAACTGTGCAGGCGTTGTGCGCTATAAGTAGCGCCGCTTAAGTAACGCCATCGATTGCGGTTGCACTAACCGTCCTTCTGTCATGGAATAGGATTTCCTTTTTGTAAGCGATGCACGCTATAATCACGCAACTCGTGAAGCTTTTGGGCCTGCGTTGGGGCGAGTCTGCCAATGCCCCCTAATTGCCCACCTCCCCCCCTCTGGTGTCTATTACGTCCAACGGTCGTGGGACAGCATCTGCCCGGTGTTTTATCGCAGCGTTCGTTCGCGTGTGGCTGCAAAAATGATAAACCTCCCCCGCTCTAACCTAAAGCGAGTTCTTTAATGATAAGCAATTTGTACGGTAAAACTAAATATTCGTAAAAGAGAGTTTAACTGAAATGTACTACCCATTGACAATCCGCTAATGTGAGGTGCGCTTCTGCGGACGTCTGTAACGCTCTTCCTTCCAATATTAGGAAGTCACTTGAGATATGCAATTTAAATGTAGACTGAAAAGGAATTTCTTCAGAACAGCTTCTTTGTGCGAAGACGTCCTTCCCCGCACCTCCGATCAGCACAGTTGGCTAAGTACGGTGCGAAAGAAGCTCAACATATATACACTGCTGGATTAAGGCCTCCCCATGTCATGTCAATCATGGGGGTTGTTGGGACCATAACTGACCGTGCTGGTCAGTGCAGGGGGGCACAGGGCCGGTTTAGTTATTGCTCGCCGCTGAGGCTAGCCTCGGCTGCGAATAGAACAACAGCAGCTTGCACATCAACAGAGATAAGAGGAATTTCCTATGGATGTATTATTTTCATATCTGGCCAGGTACCACTGTGGGAGAGCGGCAGCTTCTCACAATCATACTATTACAAAGTTTAAATCCTGATTGGGGGATCCACTCAGAACTGTGACCCGTGCAGGGTTCATCAAATTTGTACGGTACCATTTTGTGGGAAGTCAACTGTGCCTGCAATATGGAGATAATAGCTCACACTACCGCTGACTCCACACTGGACATGAGCACCGACTAACGTTTTTGGAATGGGGAGACTCTGTGTCCACGTGTAGGGTGTGTGCACATGCACATGGACGGCCCGCTTGTCCAACTACAGCTGGATGAGGGCCTCCTCATTCTGTGCGGGTTGTGGGGGTTGTGGAGGTGATGGACGTTGGATCATGGCAAAGTACAGTACAACAATGGATATTGCTGCACTGCACTCTGCTGATGACGCAGCCCCGTAGGATCCTATAGCACCTGTTGTAAGTATGGTAGTCAGATCTTACTAGATTAGGTGCACTGCGGGTGATATCATCACTTATAAGGTACATACATTTGTAAAAAGTGTGTATGCTCAGGGTAATGGGTGCTGTTGTTGCACCTGTAGGCGACTGCTATTAGTCTCTGCACACTGCTGCAGGACGTGCTTGTGGGTTTCCAAGAGAAGTTCCCAGCGTGATGCCGGCTCAAACGACGATGGTGACGACGACGATGGAGACGACGGCGATGACGATGGCGCGGTGAGGGAGCCGGCGTCCGAGGAACCCGCCGAGCCGAGCCCCGTGTCCGTGTCTCGCCGTCCACATGGCGCGCCGTCCGGCTCGCTCTCGGACGCGCCGCCATCAGACAAAACGCTGGAGACGTCACACGAGGACGCGGACGAGACGCTCTGGCTGCGGTACGGCGTGCTGCGGCAAGACGGCTCCGATCCGCCTGTGCATCGCCCCTCCGTGCGACGTGGTGGCCGTTCGCCTGCCATGGGGCCACAAATGGCACCCTTCCCCGCGATCAGATCACCTCTGCCAGTTGCAGGCTGCGGCACCCTCAACGATTCTCTGATGAAACTAAAGCTGGACACGAAAGTATCGTCCGGTTCTGATGGATCAGCCGTCGCCTGACCCACCACGGCATCAACCGACAATTTTTTTGTAGGGCCAGAACGTTGCACCTGCGAGCACTGGGTTGCAGCACCGATTGCTTTGGTGAGAACGACTGAAGGCAGTTTTGTTTTGGAGTTTGCCAATAAGCTCCTGCTCGTTTCACCAGCTCTCGCGTTGGCCCAGGGAAAATGCACGCTGCTTTTGTTATTGTTGTTGTCGTCGTTGCGACGGCTCTCTCCCGGATTCGTGCCAAGTTGGGCCGTCACGCGACCATTGGAAGTCCACACGTACGGCTCACGGTTGCGCTGGCGGCTGAGGGCGTTCGCGACGGGCCCCCGAAACGGGTTCGACACTTCGGAACGGCGCCCGTGCGAGCCGGCGCAGGGGGAACGGCAGCCGCAGCGCGGTGCCGGGGGAGGCGAAGACGAAGGGGACAACGAAGACCACGACGACAGCGAAGAGGACGTGGAGGTGCAGGAGACGGACCGGATGAATTTGTCGCGTCGAGCGTGGTTCGTGAAAGACGCCTCTTTGGACGCTGGGGAAGGTTTCGGCGGAGGTGCTGCGCCCGATCCGCACTCCAACAGCGGCTCCATCGCCGAACCTCTGCGGTGCATCTCGGAGCAGGAAGCGACCTCCGCCCAGCGCTCAGGAAACCCGGTGTTTTCTGCGCACCTCCCTGCGACAACGACATGTATGTTTTCACGAGGCATGTACAAATTCCTCACCCCCAAGTGATTTGATCAATCCTCGCGATCGTCATTAGATCTAAGAGTTAACACGTAGGCTTTCACCGTAGCTTTTGCTACGGTGAAATGGTCAGCACACTGGACTGAGGTCGCCGGTTCAATCTCCTGGTGCCGCAGGTGAAACAATGGTGCAGGTTTCTTAAATTCCCCTCCCTCTCCCCCTGCCTGCGTCCATCCAAAAGTATAAATGAGTTGACCACAATTCGTTGATTGGTAGGTGGTATGTGCTGGGGTAAACTGTGGATAACTCCGACCTCCCGCCATGTAAATTTTTCGAGAGTGGGACAGGAACCCTTTACAGGGGCTCTCTGAACACTCCCTTTCGTGGAAGCCCTGGGATGGGTGCCGCGGTGGCGAGATGTTAACTCCCTCGCTTGGTATGCAAGGAGGTCGTGGGTTTAATCCCGAACCTGACGCCTGCATATTTGGAGTTTGCATGTTTTCTCCCTGGTTGCATGGATTTTTCTCCGGGTCCTCTGTTTTTTCCTTCCACATTTAGAAACACGTGTTCAGAGTATTTGGAGCTATCTAGCTAAGTGGGGCTTACCTGGTCAACTAAATGAAAATAATAGTTAAAAGGATGAGCAACACATTGCATTGCTTTACATTTACCGCTTTAATTTTACTTTGTACTTGAACAACCCACACTCCTCGCTAGTCCCCGTTTGTTTAGTGACCCATTGCCATGAGCAGTGTTACTTGCCCTGAACGTGTGTGATTGTATAAAATTAATGCGGTGCCCTTGCTTGTGCACTAAATATCAGTTCATATCACACTGCAGAACCAATTTTTTTTTAAAGGCGAGTATGAATGTAATGCAAAACATGTTTTTATTGCCTGATTTTGACCATCTCGTGATTGTTTTCTCTCTCCTTTGTAACAATAGTAAATTAACTCAAATACAATTTGCATAGTTGTAAAGAACTAATTATGACATGCCCCATTCAATGCGTGTAAAGTCAAGGCAACAATCGATATTAATCGATGATATGCATCGCTACATGCTGAGCTCTGACTGCTTAATGGCTCTCAGTTGCACGTCTCTGGTCACATTACTGAACACGAGGACAAGGCAGTTAACGTGACTCATTAATAATTCATTTAATAATAATTTCTAAATGCATGGAAGTTATCCTATTAGGTCATTCTGACACGTGATAACGCACACCTCTTAATGGAGCATTTCTGAGTCAAGGGATGGTGGGTGATGGATATTTGTGTCCTCTCAAACTCGCTGGATTCCACATCATGGCAGTACAGCAAGTGGCAATGCGAACTTAACCCTATGGTCTGTTGAGTGATGTAACCTCACATATTTGGGTTTTCTCCGGGGTCTCTGGTTCCTCTCGTATGAAGAGCACTCCAAAGAAATAATTTGGTAAAACATCCCAATGCAACACCTTTAGAGAAATACATCTTGAGACTCCGTGCCTCTCTGAGATGAACAGCATCATTATTGTCATTAATAAACAAGCGAAACAAGTAGCGGGATGAATGTTTAAGTGATTTACCCCCACACTGCATTTCCTGCTTCAACTGAACGATCACTTCCCACACAACACGCACGTCTGCCCGCATATTTTCAGTAACAAGGCATTGTTTGTTAATGACGACAGTGGGGTTTAAGTATTTTCAACGGCGCGAGCATTAAGTACTGTATTTATCGACGGTGCTGTGTCATTTCGGTTGAATGGGCTGGCAGAGGAAGCTAATAATGCAGGGCAAGAGAGAAAGCACTGTTGAAAAGCTGTGCCCTGAAGTCGTGGGGCATTCAGCGCCCAGTGTCAGCTGCCTAATGTATTATTCAGGCTCCGATTACAAACGGCGCGTAAAACCCCATTGTAGTGCACTTTAACCTACCCACCCAATAGTACAGTGGAAGCTGGATATAAGCACATGTTATATAAAACACAGTTCTGATATAAGCACACAATGATATAATCACAGCTGGACTTGCTCCCAATTGACTGGATTTAACACACAACGCGAATATGGTACGTACGTATACAATTATCAGACAAACATAACATGCACGTATAATGTGCAATGAACACGTTGATATATTGTTTAAACAATGCACGTAAGTTGAACTCCTCTCGCACCGTACATAGACAACCGTGCTAATCGGAGGTTCGGTGGAAGGGCAACAAACACTCGAATTGACGGTGTATACGATGCAGCCATGAACAATCCACTGCTAGATGAAAGCCTCCCTCCCCAAGCTACCACCACACCTCCCAAGATCCCGTGATGCAATAATACGTAGGAGGAATACACACGTACACACACATACACTGGAGCATAACATACACATGGGCAAGAAAGACAAAGATCCCACACCCGCGTCTAGCCTCTTAACAGACTCTTGGTACAAGTACTATTGTTAGCGGGCACTTATGAACGTGAATTGGGGGCCAACACCACGGCCGGCCGACCGCCTTTGTCTCCCCAGTGGCGATGTTTTAACACACCGCACCAGCTACTAATTTGTGGCTGAGTCGACTTAGGGGGGGGGCAGGACCGGTACACATGATCGTCACTTGTGTCGGGCCGTGAGCGGGAATCGAACTCTTGGCCGCCGGGTTCGCAGCGCTAACTGCTGCGCCACCGCTCCCCCCACACACTGATAACAAAGACAAAGCTCCCCCACCACAGCCCCGTTATAGCCACAACAGCATTGTTGGGGCAAGTGCTGTTGGCGAGCACCGCTCCCCCCTCGCCCAGTGACACGCACGCATCGCGATGTCAGCCGCGCGTGCGAACCGTTAGACACGCCGTGAGCCACCCGTGAAGACGCAACGTCCAAACTCCATCCACCCCCAACTAATCCACCCCCATCTCCATCCACCCCCATCCACCTCATCTCCATCCACCCCATCCCATCCACCCCCATCCACCTCCAACTAATCCACCCCCATCTCATCCACCCCCATCTCATTCATCCCCATCTCATCCACCCCCATCTCCATCCACCCACATCTCCATCCACCCCCATCCACCTCATCTCCATCCACCCCATCCCATCCACCCCCATCCCCATCCACCTCCAACTAATCCACCCCCATCTCACCCACCCCCACCTCCATCCACCCCCATCTCATTCATCCCCATCTCCATCCACCTCCAACTCCATCCACCCCCATCTCCATCCACCCCCATCTCCATCCACCCCCATCTCATCCACCCCCATCTCATCCACCCCCATCTCCATCCACCCCCATCTCATCCACCCCCATCTCATCCACCCCCATCTCCATCCACCCCCATCTCCATCCACCCCCATCTCCATCCACCTCCATCCACCCCCATCTCATCCACCACATCTCATCCACCCCATCTCATCCACCCCCATCTCATCCACCCCCATCTCATCCACCCCCATCTCCATCCACCCCCATCTCATCCACCCCCATCTCCATCCACCCCCATCTCATCCACCCCCATCTCCATCCACCCCCATCTCATCCACCCCCATCTCCATCCACCCCCATCTCATCCACCCCCATCTCATCCACCCCCATCTCCATCCACCCCCATCTCATCCACCCCCATCTCCATCCACCCCCATCTCATCCACCCCCATCTCCATCCACCCCCATCTCATCCACCCCCATCTCCATCCACCCCCATCTCATCCACCCCCATCTCCATCCACCCCCATCTCATCCACCCCCATCTCATCCACCCCCATCTCATCCACCCCCATCTCCATCCACCCCCATCTCATCCACCCCCATCTCATCCACCCAATCTCCATCCACCCCCATCTCATCCACCACATCTCCATCCACCCCCATCTCATCCACCCCCATCTCATCCACCCCCATCTCCATCCCCCCCCATCTCCATCCTCCCCCATCTCCATCCACCTCCATCCACCCCCATCTCATCCACCACATCTCATCCACCCCCATCTCCATCCACCCCCATCTCATCCACCCCCATCTCATCCACCCCCATCTCCATCCACCCCCATCTCATCCACCCCCATCTCCATCCACCCCCATCTCATCCACCCCCATCTCCATCCACCCCCATCTCATCCACCCCCATCTCCATCCACCCCCATCTCATCCACCCCCATCTCATCCACCCCCATCTCCATCCACCCCCATCTCATCCACCCCCATCTCCATCCACCCCCATCTCATCCACCCCCATCTCCATCCACCCCCATCTCATCCACCCCCATCTCCATCCACCCCCATCTCATCCACCCCCATCTCCATCCACCCCCATCTCATCCACCCCCATCTCATCCACCCCCATCTCATCCACCCCCATCTCCATCCACCCCCATCTCATCCACCCCCATCTCATCCACCCAATCTCCATCCACCCCCATCTCATCCACCACATCTCCATCCACCCCCATCTCATCCACCACATCTCCATCCACCCCCATCTCGCCACCACCACAACAACCACAACAGCAACAGAAGCAGCAGCACCCCCACGGCAAAGCATCGGCCACCCAACTCACCTTCCCCGCTACGTGGCCTCGCGTGTGCTGCCAGGCTTGACTAAACAACAAAAAACGAACTTCCAACAGTTAGCAGCCGGAGATTGCCAAGTTGTTCCGTCGTTTTCCCCTCGCTCCAGGCTAACGAACAAAGGAATGACTGCGTCCTTCAAAACTCCATCATCATCGTCCGCAGCAGCGGCTGCCGGTCACTCAAAGGGAGGGAGGCTTTCTGAGACTTAAAACTTCGAACCGTTGGTGGGTTGGTGGTTGTGACGCATTCTGACACTCCTATTCACTTCAGTTGTGACCCCCATCCCCTCCTCCTCCACCCACCCCCCCAAGGATGTGATGTCATTTGCCCTCAAGTGCCAGGGGCTTACAATAGATTGGGGGTTCTTCTCTCTCTCTTTCGCTTTTTTCCCACGAATCGCTTGCAGCGTTCCCCCCACCTCCCCCCCCCCACACACAATAACCTATGAAGGCCGGCACTGTGGCACACGAGGGGGCTGGGTGGCCAACACCACGCCCGGCCGCCTTTGTCTCCCCAGTGGCGATGTTTACGCACCAGCGCACACACACACACAAACGCCGAGGCTAACAAATGGAGACGACTACGCAAAGATCCCTCGTACTAGTAGCTTTTAACAAGAGTGTTGGGGAAAGTGCTGTTCTCGAACACTTATTAAGTCCGGAATGGCACACGGGGGTGTGTGGGCATCCAACACCACGCCCGGCCGCCTTCGTCTCTCCATTGCTGACCTGTGCACACAGCGCCAGGAAGGAGCTCGCTTAAGGCTGAGTCGACCTAGGGGGTGGAGGCCCAGGACCGGTTCAGATGATCGTCACCGGTGTTGGCCCTGAGCGAGAATCGATCTCGGGGGGTCGCCGGGTTCGTAGCGCAGCGTGCGAACCGTTACGCGCGTGCACAAAAAACAAAGATCCCCTGTATAGCCTCAACCGACTGTTGGGGCAAGTGCTGTTAGCGAGCACCTATGAAGGCCGGCACTGTGGCACACGAGAGGGTCGGGTGGCCAACACCACGCCCGGCCGCCTTTGTCTCCCCCAGTGGCGATGTTTTTACACACCGCACCAGGTACTCATTTGAGGCTGAGTCGACCTAGGGGAGGCCCAGGACCGGTTCAGATGATCGTCACCGGTGTTGGTCCCTGAGCGGGAATCGAACTCGGGATCGCCGGGTTCGGAGCGCAGCGCGCGAACCGTTCCACGCGTGCACACACGCACGCGCATGGCAAGTGAATAATGAATAAATTCCATGTGGTGCGGAAACACACGTGTTTACACGCCAACGCGTGAACAACGTGGCAATGTGTGCTGCGGTGAGATAACATGTCAAGCTTTGCTGGGGGTGGGGGGGGGGGATGAAGATTTGGGGGGCTCATACACACTGATTAGTTATCATTATCATTCTTTTATTTTTGTTCATTACAAATCCATCCTAGTTATTATAATTCAGTAGAAGCAGCAGAAGCTTCACTTTTAACATATCGCCATCGCCCTCCCCATAATCCATTAATCAATGCTAAATTAATCAGCAAAATCGTCAGAAGCAAAAATTGATGATTGTCCATCGGGAGTACTGTACGGTTCTTGTAAACTGTTGTCATCGTTATCATCATCCATTTTACAAATATGTATTCATTGTCATCATCATTATCAGCAGCAGGAGTAAGCGTTGCTTGGGCTTAGCGGTAGCTCGTTCGCCCCTTGTTGCAGATGGTCACGGTTTTAGCCCAGCGACCGCCCTGGTTAATACTGCGGGTACAGAAACCATAGTAATTCAGTAATTACTCCACGTCGCCTGCTTCACAGTGGGTATTGAAGATAGCCGGCGTCAGGTTCAGAATTTGCAAAAATTCGAAAATGACTCAGTTGAATGATCATCGCCCAATACTGGCAGGTCACACTTGCAAATGAGGCCGCTTACAAATTATACTTTAAAGTTCATAATAAAGGTTTTAAGGTTAGATCGCATAAGTATAAATGTGTCGTAAGCCTCCACCACCCGACACAGCCAATTAGTAAGGGATTTGTCACCTAAACAAAACGCCAATAATTTACTACTTCAGCCCACCGGTGTGTTTGAGAGTAAATCCACAACATTTGCAATTTGAATACGACGTTTCGATGGTAATTTCATCCAGCATCATTTTCCAGAAGAGTGAAGCCATCCATCTGCATCCGGTCTTAAATAGAGCAGCAGGACTACGTCGTTGCTGAACCTATCAGCTGCAGAAATCAGAGGCGGGTGTGTTATTGTAATAAAATAATTGATTAGTAATGCATAATATAGGTTTTTGGGTTAGATCGCGTAAATATATAAATGTGTTGTTAAAACCCGCCACCAGCCGACACAGCCACATTGTGCAAGAGCGTAGAAGCGTGGTCATCACATCTCCGCCTCTATATAAGGAACATAACAGCAAGACTTCTCCACAAATCTGGCTGTCGCCTGATGAAGCTAGTTGTAATTACTGGTGAAACGTTGTACTCAGTTTGTAAATGTTGAGGCTTGGCTCTCCAACACACCGGTGTGCTGTACTAGTGACGAATTGGCCACGTTCTGTTTACGTGACAACCCTTACGAGTTGGCTGTCGAGTGGTGGCGGGTTTAACGACACAATATTTATATATTCACGCGATTTAACCCAAACACCTCTTATGGATGATTTTGGTTGCGAAAGCCTACGTGTTAAGCTAGCCTCTAACGTGTTATCATAATTGCAATTCGCCCATTGTTTATTGTGTTGGCTACATGCAATTGCGGTACAAAGAAAGACACTCATGGGAGGTTGTTTGTCCATGCTTCTCCACGCTGGTCAGCGTGAACATAGATCGCAGCATCGTGCTATGGATTTTGCACTACCCTCTGCTGTCCCAACACGTGGTTCCTTAAGCCTGTTATTTTTTATTATTATTTTCTTTGAACCTATCTACGTGATTTTACCGAAAGATCCAAGAATATGAATTCCTTAAGCCTGTGACTATCCAAGCGACGTATCCAGGCTCACAACTGCTTGACTTCGGGTGCATGCCGGGTTAAATTAAGTACGTAAACATTATATTGTGGTTAATAGTTTTTTTTTGTGACAAGACACTGATTTTGGAATGTAATGCTTTCGCACATTTTTGCAGCCCCACGTTATGTACACAGCGGTCTCTAAGAGCAGCTATTTTTGTATCTACCCATAGATGTCGCTCTTGGAGCAGACGTGACCGCATTGAATGAATGATAATATAATTATTGAAACCGGTGTGCTTCATTGCGAGGCACGCGGGCCACTGGCGGCCCCTGGTGGCCTTTGGCGCGGCCTCTGACGTGCGGCCCCCGACAATTGACAACACGTGGGAACAGGGCACATCCATTTAGCACGTGCGCATGGAGGGGGGAGGCGGGGTTAACCCAAATGCGTACGCTTGCGTTTGGGGGGGGGGGGCTCTACTGACATTGTACGTACGCATAGGAAACGGGGGGGAGGGTGAAGCCTCGATAATAATTCGTCTACATTGGCCATCAAATGAGCCACAGTTCAGTTGCTCCAGCTGTCAAACAACAAGTACTGCCGGGAGAAGTGGGACTGTGGGAGAGGTGTCACTCGTGTGCCACCGTGCCCCTGACTGCAGCTATCACGCAGCTCAGCAAAATAAGTGGCCAAGGTACACAACTTAATTATTTAATGCAGCCGGCGGTGGACTATCTGTTTGCTTAAACACGTTAATATTATTCATCCTTTATCGTGTCTGCGTGGATGAAATATCGGCCGTTCTATAGGATTCGGGGGGGGAGGGTGCGTCAGGCGTACGTACGCAGGTTGGGGGGGTAAAAAGTACGCGTGCGTACAGGGAGGGGGGGAGGGGTCAACTTTTGACAGATTTTTGCGTACCTACTCAATGGATGGCCCCACATCACACCTTCACCATCGTGCTGTGCTGTCAGACCCCATTGGTTTCAAATGTGTGGCGGCCCTCACACCGATGATGTCTTATGGGCGAAAGTAGTCCCCTTTGAGTAGTTAGTGAACAACACTGATTTAAAGGCATGCACGTAATTAATGACCGTCTTCTCCATAGCATAAAACGAAAAGTTGGGAGGTGCGTTTTATGATCCTGTAGGTGTGTGTGTGTGAGATTTTATTTTACTTTATTAACACCGGGCACGATTTTGGGGTGCATCTTACTTTATCTGGAGCATCTTATAACTGTGAGAAGACTTAATTTGGATTTCGCCAAGTATTCCGATGCAGGAACCTCCTCAAAATGGGTCTTGAGATTCAGTGAGGCCTTCCCGGGAAAATAATGAGGATCATCATAATAAAGGGGTCTACGTTGTAGGTAGCAGGGGGCAATACAGCAAAATAATTAGTAGTACAAATACGGTAGTTCTATCTAGATTTTAAGTTTTCGTGACTGCAGGGATCCATATTCTTTGGTTCTTTCGGTAAAGTCACGTAGGTATAAAATGAATGACATCACGGCGTTTCGATTGCAACACAAGCAATCATCAGGTGGCAAACCCACAGCAAGAAAAATGTGTTTGCTGAAGTGGGAGAGAGATGCCGTGGTTGATTGCTTGTTTTGCAATCGAAACGCCGTGATTTAATTTATTTTATTTTATACCTACGTGACTTTACGGAAAGAACCAAAGGGTACTTTAGTTCTAGGCATTAATCCACTGTTGAACGAGAGTCTCCCAAAAGCGTGGAGGGAGGTCTGCGCATGGAAGATTCGTTCATGACAATGCGTTGTCTGTCACATTTCATCTGAAAGCATTTAGTTGTTTTCTGTGGCAGTGCCTGGAGAAGAGAGAGCACTTTCAAATAGATCATCATCATCAGCCATGATCGATCTACTGCTGAATGAAGGCCTCCCAAAGCCTTCGCCATATCTCATGGTCTTGCGACAATGCGATGTGTCAAGTTATGTGGCACGTGCAAGCACGAATTAGATTTCATCGCTCCATCTCCACGGGGGATGTACTTTGTCAAGACATTCCTTCGTTGGGCTGCAACTCCGACGTTCGTCTCGACAACTGGCCACCATCCCTGAAAGAGACGGTGTCCCGCCAAAGCGACTCAAGGGACGGTCAACATGATGTCCAGATTGGGACGCCTGCTGGCTGCGCTAACTGCGTACGATCGCGACGGCATGCAGGTCGATGTAGAGTGCGATATTCACGACCCCATCTCTGAGTGATCCACCAACACCACCTCCAAGTAACAGGCGTGCATCTCCACCACAGCTGATATGGCTTATTCCTAATTTCTATTGCACTCATTTCTAAAGGTTGGACATGCAAGGTTACGTTAAAAAAACAATGAAAACTAAAGGGTTAATTGGGGCTTGATTTCCAGAGATCAGCCCCTGGACAGTTCCAGCTGAAATTGTAAATACTGCACGAGACAATCAAAATCAGAATATTTATACTGGATGAATCCCAGGAGCTACCCAGCTCTTTTCCCACAAATGTCGAGTAAAATCAAGTCCCCGGGTCTCAGTTCCCCACGTTAGCATCCCTTCTTCACATTGCGTCTCTCCCTCCCATGCCTGCCCTCCCCTTCCCCTCCTTCTCCCCACCGCCCCCTCCGCCACCTCCCCGCACGCTGCCGCTTCAGTCGTCACAAGGACCTGGCGTGCACTTGTGAACGCCTCTGTTGGTGCAATCACGGCCGGAGACCTCTTTAACTCTCCCCGAGCAATGATGTGCACGCACTCTCCTCGCCACCGACCACTCGGCAACGATGCACCACCGCGTCCATAGGATGGTGGCACAGACGACAGTGAGCGCGTAACGCGCCCCGCTGGGATAATATATACAAGGAAGCCGACTTATAGAGGCAGTTGTTTAGACAGTAATATTATCAGCAGAAACAGGAGCAATAATAATAGCGCAGTCGCCAACAGCTGCCACCGGCACTAGCAGCAAGCTGAGAGCGTATTGAACATTAACATCAGCAGCGGTATCAACAGAAACACCAACATCTTCAGTAGCGGCGGCAGCAGCAGCAGCAGGAGCATCAGTAGCAGCAGGAGCATCAGTAGCAGCAGTATTAGCAAGGGCAAAAACATCAGTGGCAGCAGCATAAGTAATAGCATCAACAGTAGCACCACCATAATCATTATTAGCAGCACCAGCAGCAGTATCTTAAACATCATCAGCAGTAGCAGCTGCGTCAGTAACAGCATCATCATCATAATAAACAGCAATAACACCAACAACAAAAGCAACGGCAAGCAGCAGCGTTCAACAGCGTAACACTTCGGTGAACAGTGGATAAGGCTCAGTATGCATCAAACACACATCGGCAACTGAAAGGATGCGTCGTGTCGTATGGATTCCTTTCCTATGCCGTTCCTGCAGCTGACCTTCACCCGGAGCGACTCGGAAGCATCACGAATATAGACCGGACGGATTTAATTATAAAATACAATCCTCCGTGCAAAACTTCCAGTGTACGCAAGAGCCGGCGTACGGAGCAGGGGTGCCGATCATCAGCCACAGCAGGTGAGAGTGCCAATAATTTATCTGTTTTATTTTGCTTGCACAGCTCTTTGTTAATCCACCGCTGGATGGAATTCCCCCACGCGCCGCTTCAAATCTCGGGAATTGTTTGATCATACTTCACCACGTTGGTCGTCAGCGTGGCTTGGTGAAATGGGAGGGGACGGTCCCCGCTTATTGGTACGGCTAGGAATCGAACTCAGGTCGCCGAGTTCATAGCGCGGTGCACCCCTGTTCCACGATATAATAGGATAATTTCAGTTCTGTGGCAGTGCTTCGTTGTTGATGAGGTAGGGACATCTGATGTATGCAGAGGCACAGCCCTGCAATTGCCGGCACAAGCTACTGCCTGCGGAAGGGCTTATAGTAAATGTGATGACGCTTTGAGTGGCAGATTTGTGCCAGAAAGACGGCTCGTATTTAATTAAAAAAATTTTTACTTGACACTCGAGAAGATTTCGCCTACTCTTTCACGCTAGCGAGAGGTTACCCACATTTTACCTCTCCATGCGTGATCTTCCAAGCAACTAACCGATGAACATCGCTGAGAGGAGAAAGGCGGAGGGATTTAAGAAACATGCGCCAAGGTTTCAAATGTCACGCCGAGAAATCAAACCTCTGGATCGCAAGTATAGTGCACCACAACAACATGCATTGGTGTGTGTTTGTGTGTGTGTTTTATTAGATACTTATAGTGCACTGTGTAAAACCGACCTTGCTTAAAACGGAATTTTTCAACAAATCTAATTCGGCTAAAGTGGTATTTCATTCTGTTTTCACGATCAACCTTAATCATATTACTCTCAATTTTTCTAAAATTAGGACCCTATATCAAAACGGTAATATGTGTATATACACGGTGATTCATGCATATATGCCCCATTGAAAAACCAGAAATGATAGAGAAAATCTTTATTTCACAGCATCTCTACATGTCTCCCACCAACCTGAACACACACCTACATATCTTAGTGCTCTCCTCTCTAAGATGTGGAGTCGTAGATTTCATATATTTCAATCAGCTCTTCAGAAAAATGAATGCCGTATGGCTGATGGGATGTGTGCAAAATACTTTTATATTTTTTGTGGTCAGATAAGTGGAGGCATTTTGTCTGCTTAGAGGGTACTGTAGTAGTAAGAGGATCATAAATCAATGATGTATCTATAAATGGATCCCCCCTTTAAAAAAAAATCGATAATTGGAAACAGATTAAACTCTGTTGTGAACCTAGGGTGGGAAAATGCAACGAATCAGATTAAAGCACATTCCCCAGCTCACGATAACGTGCATACTGTGTATGTATATTGAACTTCTTTCGCACTGTACGTAAACAACCGTGATAATCGCGTGAGTCAGGAATCCTGGCCCGCAATTCGTGTACCGTACAGTGATGTCGTGTGTTAAAGGTTACCCTTTTGGACGCGCTACCGTCAGAAAAGGAATAAATAACGATTCGTTCAAGTCAGAATATTTCAAAATCTGAATATTTATTTATACTGGAGGAATCAGATGAGCTACATGGCTCTTTTTCACAGATGTCGAGTCGGATCGTCGTGGGATTCGAGTACGGGATAGTGAATATTTCCACCTCTAACAGTCGATCATTTTAGTAAGAGGTGCTCTAAGGTTTAACATGGACAGGACATGGCATAGTCTGGCTCCCTCCATCGGAATGTGGAGTGCTACCACCAATACACAGCGCTTGTTTGAGCCACGGATACATTTTGAAATGATGGCTTTGAATTATAAAGCGTGATTCTAAATTTCAGAGTGTTCACAACTTTCTTGAATTACAGGATGCAAATATAAATAAACTGCAAGAAATAATTTCTGCAATACCCTAATTGATGTTTGAAAACATTTCCATCAAGAAATCGCATCCCGAGTCACTCAATAATTAGCAAAACGTCACCCGGCTGAAATCGTGATTTCTATCCACAGGCAACGGTCATGTAACTTATTTCAAAATAAAATGATAATCTAAATAATTTACAACCCTGTGTCAATCCACTGCTTGATGATGATGGCCTCCTCATGTCGTGCCTGTCATGGGGGATGTTTGACCATATATCACGCTGTTCAGGGGCGGATTGGTGAAGAATCTGGGGAGTGGGGCGGGGAGGTCACTGATGGTAGCAGTGGCCAGGAATCGAACTCAGGACGCCGGTTTAAGTTTTTATTTCAAATTGAATATCACCCCCTACTCAAGCGGATATTCGAACATTGAGTCGAACTGATTAGAATCATTAACAGGTAGGACCTATTGGATGGCAATGGAGTGGTCACTACATGATTGGGCCCAGTTAAAAAGAGAATTGACTCAAAGTGTGTAGTTTTTTCTTTCCCGAACTGCATTTGCATTGTTTGACTATATAACGACGTTGACAATATGAAAGTTATGCCAATGACTTTGGGATGCCTTCATCCAGTAGTGGATATATCTTGGCTGCTGATGATGAAGGCGGCTGTTATTGTAAAATGTATTTTTTTGTTTTTATCTGTGATTGCACACAACTGCAAAGGGCAGGCCCTCCACTTGCTCACTCATTTGTGGTGGGGGGGGGGACCCCATAATTGGAGTAACCTTCTAATGTGATGTGTTTTTTTAAAGAGTACATAATTTATGGAATGCTTTTTAAAAGTGAATGACATAACCAGTTGGACACCTTTATGAATCATTCAGTTTGTATTATTGCACGTGTCTGATATGATTTGGAAGTCAACGGGCCAAGGTTATGCTACAAAATAGACGGGCGATTTTGATTTTCTGTTGGGGGCAACCTAAGATGACGATGTGCAGAGAGGCAAAGACAATCTACACAGTGGCCCCAAAGCCAGGACACACAGAATTATTATATTTATTTAAACAAATCAGAGTTATTTAATTGAATTGAACAAATGTCCAATTCATGCGTGCAAATTAATTGAGGACTTTTTTTGTTTAAAATTACAGGTGGAATCTCTGAACATTCATCAATTATGTTTTGTCAATCTTATTTCAATTTATAAATGTCATTTTAAATGGATGAATATTTCTATTTATTAACAATCATAACACAAAATATTAAGTTCAACACAATCCTGGTACCTGATCGTGGTATTGTACAACAAAGGAATTCCTTCCAACCGCACAATGTGGCAAACCTAGCTTCAACATCCATGTCCCCGCCATCACCAACACTTACAAACCAGCACGTTGAAGTATGGTCAAATAAACAACCCACTACCCGCATGGTATTGGGCGAGACACTCATCCACATTGTCGCTCGATAAGAAATGGCTGTAAGCGTACGTCTGCAATGATGACACTTCAGTACAATTGGTTTAGTGGGTGCTGATGACGGAGTGACGCGGACAGGACGGCTGGAGCTCGCCTTGGTGGGATTGAACGGTGGCGAGGTCACACGAACCATGGACACATTTGCAGCGCGCTCACGCCTCTGCTTGTGCGTTGTCGGCACCAGGACGTGCGTCATGGCGCAGGTGTTGGAGTCAGCGGCTCAGTCGTCGCAAGGGGGGCCGCCCCCCCGCGAGAGCGGAGGACTCCACGAAGAGTCGCCCAACATGCTGGTCTACAGGAAGGTGAGCCCTGCGTACCCCTCGCCAATCTCAACACCTTGACGCCAGCGGTGGGGTAACCACTTTCCTTACTGACGGCCGAATAACACGAACAGATGGCTTTGGTGGGCCACACACTATACGCGTTAACACACGTATCTCAATTGGGATTAGACAGGGCAATCATCGCCCCCTACTGGCATACTAATGCCCACCTACAGGCCGGTGCTCAGTCATTTTGTGCCGCACAGGGATAGCTGCCACGGGGGGGGGGGGGGGTTGCCCTTGAAATTATTAGAAATAAAATGTGACATACGGCGCTTTGAGATGCTGAGGCATTCAAGCAAGTTCCATGTACTGTAAACGAAAGGACTATTTTTGTTGTCCAATGATGCAATAACTGTGAAAAATTCTTTGGTTCTTTCGGTTAAGTCACGTCTAAAGATAAAATAATAAATTAAAACAAAAGCATATTACGACGTTTCGATTGCAACACAAGCAATCATCATCAGGCAAAAAAAAGAAATAGCAACAAAAATCTAACTAGAAAACTATAGACAGACATACAAGCAGACAGACATCACAAGGACACACAGAGAGAGGACACATATCGGCACAAAGAGAGGGGTCGTTTCTGTGACGGTCCCTTAAATATAGAGAGGGGGGCAGGGACGGAGAGAGGGAGGGGGCAGAGAAAATTAGCATATCAATGAGTGGACGGCAAAGTGCTGCTGCTGCGCGAGTAAGATGACGACGTGGCACGGCACGCAAGCTTGTAAATTAGGAGAAAGGCACACTAAAATTAAATAATCTCGCAAAATATCGAAATGTGATGCAATACAACACAGAGAGTCGGTCAACACACAATTAACGCATAGCCCGGTTGATTACGTATCTCAAAGATTGCTAAGTTAGAATTTAAGTGTGAAACCTCCAAAGAAAGGACACATGCAGAGAGAACAAATAGCCAGAGAGAGAAAAAAGATGAGCTTAAAACTTCCCCGTAGAAGTGGTTCAATCTTAATTATGGAGCTTTCGTGACTGCAGGAATTATTCTTTGGTTCTTTCGGTTAAGTCACGTCTAAAGATAAAATAATAAATTAAAACAAAAGCATATTACGATGTTTCGATTGCAACACAACCAATCATCAGGCAAAAAAAGAAATAGCAACAAAAATCTAACTAGAAAACTATAGACAGACATACAAGCAGACAGACATCACAAGGACACACAGAGAGAGGACACATATCGGCACAAAGAGAGGGGTCGTTTCTGTGACGGTCCCTTAAATATAGAGAGGGGGGCAGGGACGGAGAGAGGGAGGGGGCAGAGAAAAATTAGGGGAAGTTTTAAGCTCATCTTTTTTCTCTCTCTGGCTATTTGTTCTCTCTGCATGTGTCCTCTCTTTGGAGGTTTCACACTTAAATTCTAACTTAGCAATCTTTGAGATACGTAATCAACCAGGCTATGCGTTAATTGTGTGTTGACCGACTCTCTGTGTTGTATTGCATCACATTTCGATATTTTGCGAGGTTATTTAATTTTAGTGTGCCTTTCTCCTAATTTACAAGCTTGCGTGCCGTGCCACGTCGTCATCTTACTCGCGCAGCAGCAGCACTTTGCCGTCCACTCATTGATATGCTAATTTTCTCTGCCCCCTCCCTCTCTCCGTCCCTGCCCCCCTCTCTATATTTAAGGGACCGTCACAGAAACGACCCCTCTCTTTGTGCCGATATGTGTCCTCTCTCTGTGTGTCCTTGTGATGTCTGTCTGCTTGTATGTCTGTCTATAGTTTTCTAGTTAGATTTTTGTTGCTATTTCTTTTTTTTGCCTGATGATGATTGCTTGTGTTGCAATCGAAACGTCGTAATATGCTTTTGTTTTAATTTATTATTTTATCTTTAGACGTGACTTAACCGAAAGAACCAAAGAATAATTCCTGCAGTCACGAAAGCTCCATAATTAAGATTGAACTGTGAAAAAGTTTGACGGTATACAGAGGGCACCGCAGTGACAGAGTTGGCTGCGCTAAAATACTAAAACACGGTATTTTCATTCAGACGCTGTCTTTCCGACAGACCTGTTCTTCACCTGAGGACGGCTGCTTGCGTTGTGGCCGAAACGTCGTGAGAATAGTATTTTATTATGTTTTATTTTTATTATTTTATTATTTTTCTTCTACGTGACTTTACCGAAAGAACCAAGAAGACGGTATTTCCAGGTCGAAAATAAATCCTAGCATCCAATCGGTGCGGCTAACACGCCTGCAGTGACAGATGAAGATTGTTTGCTGGCCGTTTCTCTCGAGCGTATGGCAAGTCTGTGCAAATCACACGTCCCAGTTTAAGTCTGCGAGCCGTGCGGTAGCTTCGCGAGTTAGCGCGACTAATCCTGCACAGTCCGCCGGAGAGCGGGCGTAGGATGCGGCTGGTTCGGGTGGCCGCAGTCACACTGTGGGTTGTCTTTCGTTCTCCACTTGTGCAGGACGAGGTGTGTGGCCGCAGTCCCACTGTGGGTTGTCTTTCGTTCTCCTCTTGTGCAGGACGAGGTGTGTTGGCGCAGCAGCGACCAGTTGCTGTTCTGGTTGCACCCGATTCAAGAGCCGAATGGCTCACAGGGCTATACCTAATAAATGAAACTGAAGCGGCTGATGGAGCGCCGTTAGTTTGGAAGATCAAAGCCGCGCGGAGCAATGGTGGGGTCGTCGACAGAGATTTTATTTGGAATCTCCGCAGAACTCGATAGTGTTTGCGAGCGGTCTTCCGTTGACCCCGCGTCATCCAAAATAGTTTCGAAATAGCGGGGCCTCACGTGAGCACGAAACGCAGATTCCCCAGACTCTGTTTTCTGCGGTGCTCTGTACCAACAGCCACTCTCTCTCTCGCTCGCTTAAAAAGACCCCGTGGCCAGCTTCAAAAGGACCGGTGCCTGTGATTACACACGTGGGTTCCCTGTCGGCAATCACATTGCTGATTGTACAATTAGGGCCTCTTTGGCATGCTCCCTGCGTACAGCGGAAAGGTGTGTGTGTGTGGTTGGTGGCATTCAGTGAGCCAGCGCTGTCAAGTATGTCGTCCGTCCTTTACAGGTGAAAGGTATTTACACCATTGGGGCCTCATTTGCCAGTAAAAATATGATAATAGTTTTTTTACCCTTCTATCTGGCAACAAAACTGACACCTTTTGGCGTCATCTGGTCCAACCCATGTGAGACTAGGCTCTAAGGAAAGCTGTCTCGGGTGTGGACCAATCAACTTCAAGGACAGTGCATACAGAGTTATGTTTTTTGTTTGCATTATGACTGCAGGTATTGTGGTCTATGCAAACATGACTCCTTGTAAAAAAAGGTGTCAGTTTTGTTGCCAGATAGAAGGGTAAAAAACCAATTATCAATTATCAGGTGAAAGATAGTTTCTTGCTCACGCCAAATGGCCTCTGCTAGAGGAAGCTTCAGAGTTCCCTTCTCTAGATGGTATTTTGCCTTCGTTTACATGCTGGCAATTCGTCTTAGATGAGGTGGGAACAGCCACACTTGACCCCACCACACACGGCCTACTAGCTGCGGTGTAAGCGAGTCTCTTAAAGCCCGGCGATGTTGTTTCAATTGCCGCGCCAAGAGAGTGAATCTAGTGGGTGACCTCTTGGTGGCAAGCGCCCAGTGTGCTGATTATCGCACCGCGAAAACGTTCCTATCCTTTTGTGTCATCGGAATCCGTCAGCGTGTCCCTGACTCTAATCAGGCTGTGCTTTACCTCTGCCGGTGTCCCAGCAAACAAGACATGGGCCAACAAGTTTCCTGCCTTCGCTGCTGGCGTAGATCTTGTTTTGCAAGTGTTGCAGCAGGTCTCTGGAGCCCAAAATATTTATTTCACACTGGCTTTTGAGCTTCCAAATTTGAGGTGATTGTTGCCGTGCCTACATGACCTAGCCTGGTCCGCGAAGACGGCAATTTTTCTGACACGTGTCACGTCCGAGTAATGGCACACTGTTTTGTTTGCACCCTGGAAATTTCACGCCTTCTTTGTTCAGCTTGTGTTGGTGTATGTATTCACACATGGGTGCACTTGACAAGCAGGTCGACTCAGCCTTAGATGCGTATGCGCCGCGGTGTGTAAACGTCGACACTGGGGAGACAAAGGCAGCCGGGTGTGGTATGGGCCATCACGCCTCATGTACCGTGCCGGCCTTCAACAGCACTTGCCCCAACAGTCTGGTCAAGGCTATACGGGGGATATTTGTCTTTGTGTGCTTAACCACGTGTACAAACCACGTGTACAAATCGTGTGTGTGTGTGTCTGGTCTTCGAAACAAACTCGCTTTCTTATTTTCTGTCAAACTGCACGTGCATTGATTAGTTCGTGAAGAGCGCTCCCTTGTCTTCCCATTCGGACGCGTCTTGGGGTTTAAATTAATAATAGGTTTGGCCGCTCACTCTGCGCGCATGTCATTACATTGTGCAAAGGCGGTGCAGCAATCAACATTTTTAACCTGGCCGTATTTCTCAATACACGCTCGTTCTCTGTGGGCTTTGCCCCGTGGCCACGTGTGCACTTGTACGAGCCAGTGCATTCATATTAATATCATATATGAGCAACCAAACATGCACTAACTGGAGGCACCTGGGAGTTTCAGTAATTGCGGTGGAACCGACATAGCACTGAGCCCCTTGAAGTACGCTCTAAAAGCAGGGATGGATTTTAGTGACACGTGAAATGGATTCCAATCGGATGCGCTCTGTATCAGTGGTTTTGACCTCCGTTCCATGCGAACCACCGAGCAATCCAGATTTTCATGGAGCAACGCTACGAGAGCAGCATTGATAGGAAGTGTGAAGTGACTCTTAATCGGTATGTAATATACAACCTGTGTCGACAAAATAATTAACACTTTTGATTCATATATGGTGCGTGTAATCGGATTATATGACCCATTCGGCCACTAGAGGCCACTATAACGCCTTATGTTATTGTTAACTGCGTTATTTTCAAGGCCCTTTGTCAATCCACTGCTGGATGAAGGGCCTC